CTTCGATGACGTCACAACAACATTCGTACCCAGCTCCTACGAACCTCGGTAATGGGACACAAGAGACCTAACTTTAAACAGCCATGGAAACGCGAGGATTTTGTCAATCAAAATAATTTTTTCGCAAAAGTAATCAGAAAAATAAGGAGATTTCATTTAGCGAAAAACATTTTTGGGGGTTAGTTGCACTTTAAGAATCAATAACAGGAAAGAAGAAAGTTTTTAACTCTGGATTGGAAGGAATATAAGGAGAGGGCATCACAAATGAAAGCATTCAGCTTATTAAAGAAAAGAGGACCTTGATAAAAAACAGAAAACTTTCTTATGTTGGTACGGCAGAAAGGAATATAAAATTTATTTGAACTACGCATGTTATAACCATGCACTTGATTAGTACGTAAAATCGGACCTGGAAAAACTGGAAGGAACTGAGTTACTTTTTAAAGAAAACATGAATTTCCCGAGATGCAGAGAATAGATGTCTTGTAACTCAAGGATCGTAAGACTCTTAAATAGTGGATTAGTGTGAGCGTCGAAGCCGTTCTTGCTGATGATTCTAATAATGCGCTCGTAAACGTTTTATAAAATTGACCCCTGGTGTGTGGAGGAGCGAGTGTGTTGCATAATCGCGCACGAAACCGGGTTCACAGTCAAGCGGCACCCTTGTCTCTGCACATGTCCCATTTAATTTATTTTTTCCAGAAGGTGAAAATGGTGCTTTCGTTATCCTAGACTGAACAACCGAATCTATGTACTGCATGTTTCGCGATCATATTGAGTAGTTATCACCTTTTAACAGAGTATTTCACTGAAGACACAAGTGAACCTATTGATTTACTGAACGAATATGTAACAATTTGCTTTGATGTGCTTCTCTCCATTGTCAGGAGAGAATTTTTTTGCCTCATTTCCACAGGAGTTTGATTCATGTTGCCCTCCCCTGCTCCCTGCAGAACCGAATCCAATCCTTGAATTGCACGAACTGCAATCGTTTTTATTGTCGCTTATGATGCCAATCCTAGTGATAGCCGAGTCCTCTGTTCCAGTAGGCGAAACCACATTAAAACCCTCCATATTGCATTTGCTTTGAAGGGAGGATCCAGGCACAAGTGATTTCCATGTAACCCTTCCGACTTCTGTTGGTGTGTACTTGTTTGACAGAAGTGCATGGAGGGAAACTGCTTCTTGATTAACAACTATCCAAGTTATTTGCTGATCTAAAACTCGCATTCCAAGACAAAGTTTGTGGAACGGATTACTCCAGAAACTTGGCATCTTCGCCTCTAGGTTATCTAGCCCATATTCACCAGAACGTTGATTATACGCTATTTTGTTGCTCCATAGGCTCGCATCATACGAAAAGGTAGTCTTGAAAAACAAATAAAATAGAATTTAAAATAAAGATAAAAAGATAAAATGAAACTTCCAACAAGCAGAGATATCAAAGCATGGTTAATTATAGTGGAATGGTTGGGAGACCCTTTGTTATATGTTTTTGTTAGCTTTTTTGGACCTGACCGTGCACAACGTTCAATAGCATTCCTATCATTTTGAAATTTCTGACCAATAAAACAATTTGTGAACAAAAAACCGAAGGATTGTGCAGAATCAGGGAGTTTCCAACATAACCTACAGCACCGTTGTTTTTAACTTTGATGTTTGTCGGCTTTCCTAACCAGTCTCCTCTACTAACTATGATTAGAATGATTAAAATAAAACATAGTAGTCTATATTACAGCATAATTATATGAAATACATTTATATATTTATATGAATAATAAGATGAATATTACAGGTGCATGAATTTGCATATAATTGTTTACAGTAAAAATAAGGAAACGAAGAATAGGCAACTTTCGATATATTAATATTCAGCATGATGGCGAGTCTTAGACGACACAAACAAAGAAAATTGTTTATTCTGCATGTTTATTCATTTTCTTTCTTTGTGTCCTCTAAGACTCGCTATTATGCTGAATTTTTATATATCGAAAATGGCCTATTGGGTATCAGATTCCTCTAAGCAATAAAATGGGACTAAACTACTAGTAGCTAAATAGATGGGTTTTCAGGAGGCGTTTAAAAGCGGCAACATTAATGGCATGGCTGATAACCACCGGTAGATGGTTCCACAGCTTTGGTACCGCGGCGGTAAATGAACGGTCACCAAGATCGTTTGGAATCAGAAGATTAGATTGTATCTAGTAATAGTATATTAACAATGAGTGCCTTTTGGCTATCAGTGCTATGAAATCTTCGACGGACACATTAGAAAAACCTCAATATTTTTAACGAGGTTTTTTAAACTTTTTCTACCTTTGCTCCATCGATTTTCATGACTAAAGTCCATCCGCCACCTCCGCATCCGGAAATTTCTTCCATGTGGCAGTATGTTAATGCTGCCTTTGGGTCCTCGGTTTTAAGGTAGTATGCTCCACTTTTAGATCCACTGAAACGGAAAAAGTGTACAATGTGTTTACGTTTTTAGCGAAAAAAAAAAGGTGTGCCCAGTTCTGAAAGAAGCTAGGATAAAGCCATTTGAAAATACCCCATCAGTTTGAAACAGTCAGGTTAGAGTTCAGTACCCTTGCAGCGCCTCAGAGCCTCAGCTCTTTTATTTTCGGGGTAGGTTCGTATTGTTAAATTGGTTTGTTTATTGTTTCCCAAATAACCAATCCCACGCACTTTAGATTTATGCCCTCCATGCTCTCCGAACTTCCACGGGTCTCATATCTTCATATACGATTGGAGTATTTTTAACTCAGCACAGCGAAATTTAAGTGGAAAGAAGGTTTGCCTTACGGTGTATTGATCAAGACGTCTGCACATGAATTCGCAGCACACGAATGATTGTAACCTTTAAATTCTGTAAATAAAACAGTAGAAGTAATCATCTGTGAGTTGCTTAATGTTCTTCTTGCGCGATATCATACCAAGAACTGATAATAAAAAATTTTACGTGTAGCCTGAATTGGCGATGTAGGTTTGTCTAATCTACTTGATGTGGTCCTCTACAAACATCTTCACATTAAGAAAACTTGTCATTTTCTTTAGAGCTATTTCTTTCCTGCTAGTTCTTCAGAAGTTCACAAATACCTGTACTATATCAAGCTGGTCACAGAAATCGTTTACATTAACTTACTAATAAGTTGGGTAGCAACATCAACTTTACATCCGAACTCAGAGAAACAGACAAAAGAGCCATTAGTATTAATGCAGGATGCGTCAAGCGAGCAGTTGTGAGCACCAGTGGCGCATTCATCGACATCTGAAAAACAAAAGCGACGAAAATGAATGCGGGAATTAACTTTGCCTGACCTTAAATGACATGACAGTATAGCGCAACCATAAGATGGTGTTTTTCAGTATTCGTAAAGATGAAAAAGATTAACATGTTATTGTCGAACTAGACCGATTAAATTTGTTCTCCGTACTAAAAGTGTAAAAGATTTTATTTACTGCACGTTTGTAGACTAGTGGTGGTGACAAATTAACCTCGAGATCACTGGACTTCCTGTGTAGTTACCTGGACCTCTGCATATCCCTTTTATGAATTCTGGCGACTGAAGTCTCAATGTGCATTTCATAAATAGATATAATTGACCTGCCCGCCTACTAATTTGGATTTCCTATTACAAATTAGCATTATTTTCAGTTACGTTCTGGAAATGTAGGAGCTTCTTTCAGTGACCTCTCTTCCTCCGCTGCCCCTGATAAATACAATTAACAACACTAGTAGACTAATTACACTTCTAATTACACTACCAAGTAAAAATAAAATATTATTAAAGTTCAAAGCTGTTAATTGAACACAATTTTCTTTTTTTCAAAAGCTTTTAGTAGTAAGCAGTACTTAGCAGTACACAACTCAACCTCGTTCCCAGGGAGATTGAGCGACCATAGAGGTACCAAAAGACATCTTTTAGCCATTGAAATTGAGAAAATTCACGTCATAGTCATTGCTTTTGTTCAGGGGCACACAACGACGGTTTAAGATAAGATAAGATAATCGACTTAATTTAACAAGGGTTACACGTGACAGTAATTAAAATACAATGAAATAAAAACTAGGGATAGGTTACTATTTACAATAAAAATATGTACAATAAAAATTTTACCAGTATTCGACTAACGAGAAAAATAGTTAAAAATCAAGGACAGTGAGGATCAATACTCATGAGAACAAAGTGATGTCATTAATTAATAATTCAAAAGATCCCTTAATCTTTTGGGAATTTAATAGTACTTTCCACAGTACTGACTTGAAGGATTTCAAAGTCTTCTCAGTTCTTAGGGTTTGGGGTAAGTTATTCTAGTCCTTAGCAGTTCTCACTGCAAAGGTGCGTCCCCCTTCTGAGATGTTTTTGTGGAGGGGGGACAGTAGATTCAAATTTCAATTTTTTAAGATTCTTGTGTGGTTATCTGAGTTTTTTCTTAAGAATGTGTTTAAATAGTGAGGCAGTGTTCTATTTATCCTTTTGAAAGCAAGTGCACAGCTATTGATGTATGCTTCATTGTTAAAAGGGAGCCAGAATAATTGTTAAGCAATGTCACTGTTCGACTAGCTGGACTAGTGCGAGGGGCACTCAAAATGATGCGTGTCACCCGTTTTTGCATTCGCAGAACTCTCTCAAATAGCATTTTATCAGACGATGTCTATACTGAGCTTGCATACATCATGAATGGTTTTATGAATGCGTTAAAGTAAACGATTCTCTAATTTTTCTTCAAGTATGGACTGATATGGCGTAAAAGGCCGAGACGCTTGGAGAGCTTGTTGCAGAGTTCATTGACATGTACTTCGTAAGGTAGGTCTTCGTAGATGATCAAGCCAAGAGAGGTTTATGACTTACAACTTGCTCAATTTCAGCGGTATCCGTTACAACTTCCAGCTTTCCTGAATCTTGGTCCATGCGCCTCCGTAGATGCTTTCCCGTAACCAACAATGCTTTCGTTTTTTGCGTATTTAAGTACATTTTTTTTACCTCTAGTCCATCTCTCTATCTCTGCCAGTCATCAGATAATGTTTGGTTTAGTGATGAAATGGTTTTCCAATTTGAACTTGAAGACAAGGTGGAATCATCTGCATAAATGTCCATAGTTGATCCGTGAACACGAAGAGGCATATCGTTGACGAACAAAAGGAAAAACTCCGGACCTAAAATTGACCCTTGGGGCACACCTTGCTTTACGGTCAACTGTTCAGATTTAACTTTCTCTAAAGTAATAAACTGCTTTCTCTCAGACAGGTACGATTTAAACCAAGCGACGGAAAAGGGACAAACCCCGTAGATAGACACAACTTTTTTAGAAGAAGATCATGATCAATTACATCAAAAGCTTTGCGAAAATCTATAGACACCAAACCCGGTCAACTCGTCGTTGTCCATGTTTGTTAATATCTGATCTGTAAGTCTGATCAGGGCTGCTTCTGTAGAATGTCCCTACCTAAAAGCTGATTGGAACTCGTATAACAAGTTATCTTGCACAAATTTAAAAAGGGAGCTTGCTACGTGCTTTTTGAGAATCTTCGAGAAGACAGGAAAAACAGACATCGGCGGTAATTGTTTATATCATTGCGTGCTCCTCCTTTATGCCATGGCGTCACCTTTGCAACCTTCCAATTGTTAGGAAAACTGTTCGTTGATATTGAAAGATAAGTAATTTGCATAACGGATTTACAAATACCGGGGTGCAATTTTCTTGAGAACTCGCACACTTATGCCATCGTACCCAGATGTCTTGTTGCTGGAAATTTTTTCTACAATGCCAGTAGTTTGTTTAGGCGTTAGCAAGGGAATGTTGTAAAACGTGTCTGCATTTAATCTTGAACAGATAAAGTTTGTCAGCTTGGTGTTGTCAAACTCTACGTCAGCTTTGTTGTCCTTGCAAATTTTTTCTAAGATGTTAACGAAGTACTTATTAAGTTCATTTGCAATGGAGGCTTCATCGATCGCCAACAACACCATTTTCTGTAACGATTTCATTAATACGAACTTGAGGTTTACTTGTCCCGCTTAACGATTTCAGGACCTTGCAAATACCCTTCGGGTTTCCTTTGTTCTCGTCAATTTTCTCGCGAAAAAATCTTCTTTTTTAATGAAAGTTGTGGTTTGACCTTTTGCATGCGTGTACTGAGCCCAGTCCTCATGCAAATTAGAATTACGCGCCTTTTTTAATAACTTGTCCCTTGTTTTCATTGAATGTAGAATTTCCTTTGTCATCCAGACAGGTTGGTTGGGTTCCTTTACACGTTTAGACTTGAGTGGAAGTTGCCGATCTAGAACATCGTTAAGCATTGTTCCTATTAAACTCGGAACATCGTCTATATCATCGAACACAAACGCTGATAATCTTTTAGTAATTCATTAGTATTCAAGTTCATTAAGTCACGATATTCGATGGTACTGTAAAACTGATCTCTCTGCTTTTTACAGTATTTTCTTCTGATAAAAACCGGTGGATGGTCCGCAAGACAAATGTTAGGCACACAAATATCGGCAATGAAGTCCGGATGCATTGTGTAGACGTGGTCAAGACAAGTAGAGCTTACAGGACGAGTAACTTCATTAACGAGTTGACTCAAATTAAACACCCTGGTTTCTTTCCAAGGTGTTGCCTGTGCGATTGATTTGATCTGTACTGTACTCCAAGTTTACAAAAAGGGGTACCCAATGACTATTTTCTGTGAAATATCTGTTCGGAGAAGCAAAACGCGCCTAGAATTTTCTGAGGAAAGCTATTTCTAGATGACCGTTCCATTCAACTACAATTTTCGAAGCTTATCTATAAATTCCCTATGATTTTCTGAAGTTTAATTTTCCGCATTTCACTCCCCAGGTTAAGCTATTTTTCGTAGAAGAAGGAAACCTAAAATCTTCGGATTCGAATATGTGATGGAGGGAGGATTCTTATTCTCGTAACGCTTTAAATTACATCTAAAATACTGATCAGAAGCCCTTATAATTTCCAAAAGTCTCAAGTTACCCAAGGATGACCTAACGGATACAAATTTTATAGCGCAGCTTAAAATGCATTTCTACAGATCTAAAAGTACTCTGGATAGCCTAAAAAGTAACAATATTAAAGGGACTGTGTCACGATAGTGTGCATGTGTGAGCTGTGACAGTAGCTGATTGTCTTTGAACCAATCGGAAGTGAGTAAGATGCATGCGAGGAAATTTACATGATTCAAGATTCATTGTTCGCGAAGCGGGAGTCTTCCGGACGTTTTTGTTCGATTTTATATATCCCCATAATTTATATTTAGTCTCTGGTATACCTCAGATAAATGCAGCTGATAAGAATAAGATTAACGACCCCCGGGGGTACTTTAAGAATTTCTGGGTGGGGATGTGCCGTTGGGACCCTGGAACCCTTAACCTATACCAGAGCTAGTTCAGCTAAGTTTTTCTACCCTATACTAGAGTAAACTCCCGAAATCCCCCTATCCTAGAGTAGCTGTTTCCCTAGTCTACATAAAATCTTCAACCAACTGATCAGTTCCCAGAAAAATGATACCTTATTCTAGACCCAAACGTTCTGATTTATATACCCTGTTCTAGAGTAAATTGCTTGAAAATCATACCCTTCACAGCGGCACATACCTATATAGCCCATATATGTCAGTACCCCCCCGGGTTAAAAACCCTGTCCTGCTTTCAAACAAACATTTACCTACGTGTATTTTTACGTAACCACACTAGAAAACCAGTCTCCGATCCGCAAACAAAAAAAATTTGTAAACAAACCTTACTGATCTCTCTGTTTACCCTATATAAACTTAGAAATACCTGCAAATAGCTCCTGACCGGTGATCAAAACACACAGTATAGGATGAGGCAAACGTTTTGCTTAAAATGCCAGCTAAATGCGCTATAATAAAATAAGCCATGCCATACGGTCGGCTAGCGCGATGAACATTCTGTATGAACACTGTAGCTCAGTCGAATGATACCAGCTAAAAATCGTAGCAGTGTTTTTCTTAGCGCTTCATCATAAAACGCTTTCATTGCAATAGTAGCCACATAACGTATAAGTATAAAGATTATTCTAAAAGAACAACGCAAAAAAAGGCATAAACAGGAGCCCATCACTATGGCATAAATTTCAATTGCTTATCAGCAAATAAAAAAATTCCTTCCGAGTCGTTGCGTCGGGTGTTCCGCAAAACAAACGTTATCGATTCAACACATAAAGAAACCAGATGTTAAACGGAACATTCAGGCAACAATTTATTTTTAAAAGATCAATTGTTAAACATCTACGCTCATACAGAAAAGATACAAGGAACATTCCCAGTGAACTACATCAGTAAAGATCGCGCGGCCTGTTGTCAGTACTTTCTGCTATACAACTACGGATCGGAGTCATAAATCGAATACCTGTTAAAACGTTTCATGTTCGATGGATTGTTTCCTCAAACCTCACAAGACTTCCTGTACAACAAAAGATTGCTGGGTTCCGGACACTCGATAAATTAAATTATTGCAGACAATCGGAAGTCATGTCGCAGATCAGCTTCACTCACCGCGCTGCGTCCCATTAGCAGTCCACGGCTGTATCGAAGGAACCCTTTTTAACTCTCTTTACATATTTATCGTTTAAAAAATATCCGTCAAAGGTAGATCCTTGACTGGAGAACATTAATAGACAGAAATGAAAGCCAGATGACCACATTAAAGGCCACATTTGATCCGTTTATAGGAACACTGACAACAACGAACAGGGCTTCGTACGGTTCTCCTCAATGACTTCGAATGTTCTCGACAATACTTGCACAAAAAAAAAACTTCCCAAATGGACCAAATAGCTCTTGAACACTGATTTTATGGCTTTCTCGGGCGTCTTTGGGTCGATGGAAGAGGATTTCTTCACCAAAACGCCAATCTTGAAAAACTGTTCGCCGGAACAGAAATCAAGTTGCCGCACATGCGCAGAAGCGTGTCACAGTCCCTTTAAAGCTATTATTAAAGTTGGCACTGTGAATTCCTATAAGCTGTCTTGGCGTTCTTTTATAGTTAAAAAATTGTGAAGTAAGTTGTTAAGGGAGTAAAGAAGAAAAAAGTCAACAAACAAACAACCAAAAAATTTTGATGCCATGCAAGCAGACCAAACGCTAATAAAAATATTACCTGTGCAGTTTTGTCCATCTCCTGTATATCCCGGTTTGCATGTGCAATCGAAGGATCCGTGGGTGTTATTACAAAATGCATCAGAACTGCAATTGTGTAAACCGGCCACACACTCATCGATATCTGAATAAGTTTTATATCACATGTAAATAACTGAATGCTCAATGGATGAAAAATTGACATTTCTTTATCTTTCTTGCAAATGCAGGCGTAACATCCGTTTGTCGTTCCTGCATTTTGCGTTTTCGTCGCATTTGTTTGTTTTAATTAATAGAACCGCACTCGATTTTTGGATAACTCAGCCTCCATTATATTTACTAACCGTCTGGTCTAGCAACTCAAGATACCATAGTCGCGACCTGAAATCTCTTTTTTTTTTTTCACTCAAGACTAGAAATTGTTAATATAGCGTGAAGATCCTATTGCATCATTCTCAAAGTAGGTGTACCTCCAACTTTCCTTATTTAAGCTTTTATAAATAAAACTCTAATTTGGCACTTCACTCAATCACTAAAATATTCCGTGTTCATGCATTTGGATAGGCATCACCTGTACAGTTCCATCCGTCTCCCAGGTACCCAGGTTTACACGTGCAGTTGTAGGATCCTTTGGTGTTGTTACAAACCGCATTAGAACTGCAATTGTGGGTTTTGAGTCCTTTACACTCATTGATATCTGAAATTATATTGATCAATAACAGCAACAAACTTATTTCGCTTTCGTGCGTTTTAGACTTTCCCATCGATTCCCCAGTTACTATATACGGTAAAATCAAGTTAGTACGCTGCTAGAAGGTAGTGACAGTTTTAGAAGTAAGTCAAAAACATTGTTATCGACACCACGTTGAATTTGTTTTGCTTTGATTAATAAATAAGTTAAGAGAAAATTAAGACTACCTTACCATAACTTTTGACTTCGTTTTATTTCGTGGGTTTCCTTAATAATTACCCTGCGAGCAGAGGCTTCACTTTCGCTGTCTGATAGTAGCCTCTGCCGACAACCGTTCAAATCCGCCCAGAATATCTGGACGAATAAATTTTTAAAAAAAGGGGTTTTTTCCTGTTCTTGACCCGTTTAGAACATTGCGTGAGTCTTGCGTAGCAGATCAGAGTTGTCGCATTTTTTTCATTCCCGCGAAACTCGCGTCATTTGACGACAGACCCGACGATTAATTTTGCTTGCTAATCACGCGATGAATTTCGAGCATGCACGATAGAAAACTGAACGGTTATCGGCAGAGGCTAATTTTCGCACGACAGGTCACACAGCGAAAATGCAGCCTCTGCTCGCAGGGTACTTAATATTGCATCGTCAACTATGCATTAAAGGTTGAATTGAGAGTTTTTCACCACCACCACCGGTTTAACACGTTGTTTAGTTATTTTTGGGTCGTCTTGGTTTTTTATTGGTTGACTAATAACTAAGAAATGTTTTCAGTGGTTGGTTTATGTTGCCGTAGCGTAGATATGAGAGTTGACCTATTTCCTGCGGCTTTCATTTTCCATTACAGGCAATAAATTTTTCTGCTTCCGCTTTAATGATTGTTGGCGTGTAAGTCGTACATATTTGATATCGTTGGCGAAGGCAAACTAGCTCTTTATAGCAAGAAACAATCTTTGCCAACCCGCTCCCCAATGACCGGACGATGAGGTCGATGAGAGAAGGCAATTTGCAATATATTCCTTCCTTAATCAATAAAACCGATTGTATCTCCAAAGAGGGTTTACCTCCAACTTTTCTTAAGGTTTAACTTTGCTCAAGCCCTCGCAATAAGACTTACGTTGAGCAAGCTACTGTCCCAATCACTAAAAATTCCTTCATATAATAATCAGTCACCTGTACAGTTCCATCCGTCTCCCAAGTACCCAGGTTTACACGTGCAGTTGTATGCGCCCTCGGTGTTATTACAGAACGCTCTAAAACTGCAATTGTGGGTTTCTGCTGCTTTACACTCATCGATGTCTGAAATGATATTGATCAATAGCAAAAGTTAACTTTGCAATGTGGATTCCTCTCAACGTTCAATACAAAGTGTAATCTTGAACTGAGCAGAAAGGTGCAAAAGAAATACATGAGAAAAAAGAAACACGAAAAAACAAAGAAAATCAAGTTTCTGATGCCGGCCAGTGCACTAAATAGAAAGGTATACATCCACTGTATACTAGTACGTTAAGGCGTTTTAAATTTTCTTACCTTTTGAGGTAATACAGTCGAACCTCTACTAAAGGTCACCTCTCCTCAACCGCCGCTTTCTTCTGTCCCCAATTAGGTGGCCGTTGAGGAGATGTTCAACTGTATCTAACAAATGGTTTCTATATAAAGAACATATTATCATAGAAACAATAAAACAGCAATGCTTTCGAAGGCATGCAAAATGACCAAGTTAAGAAAGAAATTACCTGTGCAATTATTTCCGTCCCCTTCATATCCTGGTTTACATATGCAATTGAAGGATCCTTGGGTGTTGTTACAAATGGCATCAGAACCGCACACGTAAGTGTCTGCTTTACACTCGTCGATGTCTGTAATATTACATTATTGAACACCATAAATAGTTAGCTTAATACGCTGAAGGCGGTTCTTCGTACCCGTCACTGGGTGTTAGTTCAGTTGGGCAGATCCAGGATTTTATGAGCTAAGAGGGAGTGGGTGATACCGGTAATTTGTCCTGTCGCGTCCCCAAAACGTTGCAATCGAGGAAGGATGAACAGGAACCTTTAACACCGCAAATTCTTACACGCCACAAAATATAGAAATGATTACATTACAAGAAACTTGTTCTCTTTCTGGCTGTACACGATATACAGCATGACACGGGAAAAAAGTGCCAATTAAACTGTTCTAACATACAAGTAAGTCGGCTAAAAAAGGGGAGGTGGTTAGCCTTCCAATCCATCTCCCCTGCATCCACCTATGTCGTTGCATTGCTATAAGAAGAAAGTTATAACAGGAGGAGATAACTAAAGACAAGTGATAAAATTTCTGCTGCCATACGAGAACAGACATACTACTTAAAATACTACCTGTGCACTTTTCTCCATCTCCTGTAAATCCAGGTTTACATGTGCAGTTGTAGGATCCGTGGGTGTTATTGCAAAATGCATCAGAACTGCAATTGTGGTGTGTATCTACTAGACACTCATCGATATCTGAAATAGGTTTTAAATTACATGTGAATAACTGAATGCCCAATCGCTGAAAAATTCAAATCTACTTATTCTGGAGGTCAAATATTCTTTCTTGAAAAAGCAAAGGTAAGACCCTTTTATTGTCCCTGCGTCGTCTTATTTGTTTGTTATAGACCCGCAACCGATTTTTGGATAACCGTCCATTTTATTCTCTAAGAGTAAGGATTTGTCTCCCAAGGTACCATAACGGTGACCTAAAATTTCATTCTATTTTTTCTTATAACAAATAATTGTTAGTATAACGTTAAGATCGTATTGCGTCATTTCCAAAGTGGGTCATTACTTCCAAATTTGCTTTAAGCTTTCATGAACAAAACTCGCATTTGTCAAGATACTTCCCCCATTAACCAAAACGTTCTCTACCTATTTGTGTATTCACCACCTGTACAGTTCCATCCGTCTCCCAAGTACCCAGGTTTACATGTGCAGTTGTAGGATCCTTTGATGTTGTGACAAACTGGATTGTGACAAAATGGATTGTTTCCTCAAACCTCACAGGACTTCCTGTACAACAAAAGATTGCTGGGTTCCGGACACTCGATAAATTAAATTATTACAGACAATCGGAAGTCATGTCGCAGATCAGCTTCACTCACCGCGCTGCGTCCCATTAGCAGTCCACGGCTGTATCGAGGGAACCCTTTTTAACTCTCTTTACATATTTATCGTTTAAAAAATATCCGTCAAAGGTAGATCCTTGACTGGAGAACATTAATAGACAGAAATGAAAGCCAGATGACCACATTAAAGGCCACATTTGATCCGTTTATAGGAACACTGACAACAACGAACAGGGCTTCGTACGGTTCTCCTCAATGACTTCGAATTTTCTCGACAATACTTGCACAAAAATACAAAATATGGCGTTTAAAACTTCCCAAATGGACCAAATAGCTCTTGAACACTGATTTTATGGCTTTCTCGGGCGTCTTTGGGTCGATGGAAGAGGATTTCTTCACCAAAACGCCAATCTTGAAAAACTGTTCGCCGGAACAGAAATCAAGTTGCCGCACATGCGCAGAAGCGTGTCACAGTCCCTTTAAAGCTATTATTAAAGTTGGCACTGTGAATTCCTATAAGCTGTCTTGGCGTTCTTTTATAGTTAAAAAATTGTGAAGTAAGTTGTTAAGGGAGTAAAGAAGAAAAAAACCAACAAACAAACAACCAAAAAATTTTGTTGCCATGCAAGCAGACCAAACGCTAATAAAAATATTACCTGTGCATTTTTGTCCATCTCCTGTATATCCTGGTGTACACGTGCAATTGAAGGATCCGTGGGTGTTATTACAAAATGCACCAGAACTGCAATTGTGTAAACCTGCCACACACTCATCAATATCTGAATAAGTTTTATATCACATGTAAATAACTGAATGCTCAATGATGAAAAATTGATATTTCTTTATCTTTCTTACAAATGCAAGCGTAAGACCCGTTTGTCGTTTCTGTATTTTGCGTTTTCGTCGCATTTGTTTGTTTTAATGACTAGAACCGCACTCGATTTTTGGATAACTCAGCCTCCACACTGTAATTTTCAGGGAGTTATAATAACTCCTCTAGTGGGGCTAAGTTAACTCCTGACAGTGGAGTTATTTTTTGTGGAGTTATTTTAACTCCAAAAAGGAGTTTAAAGAACTCTTTTTCAGGAGTAAAAGTGACCCCAGATATTGAGGGGTTAAAATAACCCCAAAAAAGGAGTTATCCTGTACCTAAAATTTTTACTCCACTTTCAGAGTTAAATTAACTCCAAAAAGAGTAAAAACAACCCCTGTAAGGAGTACAAGTAACCCCATTTCGGAGTAGTTTTAACTCCAAGACTGGGAGTAAAAAGAACTCTTTTTCAGGAGTAAAAATGACCCCAAATTCGGAGTTAAATTAGGAGTTAAAATAACCCCAAAAAAGGGGTTATCCTGTACCTAAAATTTTTACTCCATTTTTGGAGTTATAATAACTCCCTAAAAATTACGGTGCATTATATTTAATAACCGTCTGGTCTAGCAACTCAAGATACCATAGTCGCGAACTCAAATCTCTTTATTTTTTCACTCAAGACTAGAAATTGTTAATATAGCGTGAAGATCCTATTGCATCATTCTCAAAGTAGGTGTACCTTCAACTTTCCTTATTTAAGCTTTTGTAAATAAAACTCTAATTTGGCACTTCACTCAATCACTAAAATATTTCGAGTTCATGCAGTTGGATAGGCATCACCTGTACAGTTCCATCCGTCTCCCAGGTACCCAGGTTTACACGTGCAGTTGTAGGATCCTTTGGTGTTGTTACAAACCGCATTAGAACTGCAATTGTGGGTTTTGAGTCCTTTACACTCATTGATATCTGAAATTATATTGATCAATAACAGCAACAAACTTATTTCGCATTCTTGTGTTTTAGACTTTCCCCAGTTACTATATACTTTAAAATCAAGTTAGTAGGCTGCTAGAAGGTAGTGACAGTTTTAGAAGTAAGTCAAAAACATTGTTATCGACACCACGTTGAATTTTTTTTGCTTTGATCAATAAATAACTTAAGAGAAAATTAAGATTACCTTACCATAACTTAATATGCCTTCGTTTTATTTCGTGGGTCTCCTTAAAAATTACCCTGCGAGCAGAGGCTACATTTTCGCTGTCTGAGAGGAGCCTCTGCCGACAACCGTTCAAATCCGTCCAGAAATCTGTACGAATAAATTTTAAAAAACGGTTTTTTCCTGTTTTTGACCGGTTTAGAGCATTGTGTGAGTCTTGCGTAGCAGATCAGAGTTGTCGTATTTTTTTCATTCCCGCGAAACTAGCGCCCTTTGACGACAGACCCGACGATTAATTTTGCTTGCGAATCGCGCGACGAATTTCGCGCATGCACGATAGAAAATTGAACGGTTGTCGGCAGAGGCTAGTTTTCGCACGACAGCTCACACAGCGAAAATGTAGCCTCTGCTCGCAGGGTACTTAATATTGCATTGTCAACTATGCATTAAAGGTTGAATTGAGAGTTTTTCACCACCACCACCAGTTTGACATGTTGTTTAGTTATTTTTGGGTCGTCTTGGTTTTTTATTGGTTGACTAATAACTAAGAAATGTTTTCAGTGGTTGGTTTATGTTGCCGTAGCGTAGATATGAGAGTTGATCTATTTCCTGCGGCTTTCATTTTCCATTACAGACAATAAATTTTTCCGCTTCCGCTTTAATGATTGTTGGCCTGTAAGTCGTACATAATTAATAACGTTGGCGAAGGCAAACTAGCTCTTTATAGCAAGAAACAATCTTTGCCAACCCGCTCCCCAATGACGGGACGATGAGGTCGATGAGAGAAGGCAATTTGCAATATATTCCTTCCTTAATCGATAAAACCGATTGTATCTCCAAAGAGGGTTTACCTCCAACTTTTCTTAAGGTTTAACTTTGCTCAAGCCCTCGCAATAAGACTTACGTTGAGCAAGACTGTCCCAATCACTAAAAATTCCTTCATATAATAATCAGTCACCTGTACAGTTCCATCCGTCTCCCAAGTACCCAGGTTTACACGTGCAGTTGTATGCGCCCTCGGTTTTATCACAAACCGCTTTAAAACTGCAATTGTAGGCTTCTGCTGCTTTACACTCATCGATGTCTGAAATGATATTGATCAATAGCAAAAGTTAACTTTGCAATGTGGATTCCTCTCAACGTTCTATACAAAGTGTAATCTTGAACTGAGGAGAAAGGTGCAAAAGAAATACATGAGAAAAAATAAACACGAAAAAACAAAGAAAATCAAGTTTCTGATGCCGGCCAGTACACTAAATAGAAAGGTATACATCCACTGTATACTAGTACGTTAATGCGTTTTAAATTTTCTTACCTTTTGAGGTAATACAGTAGAACCTCTACTAAAGGTCACCTCTCCTCAACCGCCGCTTTCTTCTGTCCCCAATTAGGTGGCCGTTGTGGAGATGTTCAACTGTATCTAACAAATGGTTTCTATAAAGAACATATTATCATAAAAACAATAAAACAGCAATGCTTTCGAAGGCATGCAAAATGACCAAGTTAAGAAAGAAATTACCTGTGCAATTATTTCCGTCCCCTTCATATCCTGGTTTACATGTGCAGTTGTAGGATCCTTTGGTGTTATTACAAACCGCATTAGAACCGCAATTGTGGTTTCCTTCTTTGCACTCAATGATGTCTGAAATCATAGTTGAACATCAATGACAATAAACTAAGTTTGCACGGTGGATTCCTATCAGCTGACTAGACAACGGTAAACCGACTGACGCTCGTTTTAAAGCTACAGACGAAGTAAGTTGTTAAGAAAACAAAAGAGGAAAAATCAAACAAACAAACACTGAAACAAACACAAAGCTTTTGATGCCATGCGAGCAGACCAGACACTAAAATGAATATTACCTGTGCAGTTATTTCCATCTTCTCTATATCCAAATTTACATGTGCAATTGAAGGATCCGTGGGTGTTGTTACAAATGGCATCAGAACCGCACACGTAAGTGTCTGCTTCACACTCGTTGATGTCTGTAATATTGCATTATTGGACAGCACAAATAATGAGCTTAGTTTGAAATGTGACTCCTCTTACCTGTTACTGGGCGTTCGTTCAGTTGGGCGGATCCAGGATTTTAAGAGATAAGAGGGAGTGGGTGATAAGGGTAACTTGTCCTAGTATATGGCGTCCCTAAAACGTTTTAATTGAGTAAGGAGGAATAGCAACCTGCAACACCGCAAATTCATACAACGCCACAAAATATAGAAATGATTACATTTACAAAAAACTTGTTCTCTTCCTGGCTGTACACGATACCGAGCATAACACGGGAATAAAGTGCTAATTGAACTGTTCTAATAAACAAGTAAGTCGGCTAAAAAAGGGGAGGTGGCTAGCCTTCCAAACCACCTCCCCTGCATCCACCTCTGTCGTTGCATTGCCATAAGAAGAAAGTTGTAACTGGGGAAGAGAATGAAAGAGATTAGAGATAAAGTTTCTGCTGCCCTACGAGAACACACGTACCACTGAGAATACTACCTGTGCAGTTTTCTCCATCTCCTGTAAATCCAGGTTTACATGTACAATTGAAGGATCCGTGAGTGTTATTGCAAAATGCATTAGAACTGCAATTGTGGTGTGTATCTACTACACACTCATCGATATCTCAAACAGGTTTTATATTACATGTAAATAACTGAATGCCCAATCGATGAAAAATTAAAATCTACTTATTCTGGAGGTAAAATATTCTTTCTTGCAAAAGTAAAGGTAAGACCCTTTTATTGTCCATGCATCGTCTTATTTGTTCGTTAAAGACCCGCAACCGATTTTTGAATAACCGTCTATCTTATTCACTAATTAAGTGTATGAATTTGTCTCCCAAGATATCATAATCGTGACCAGAAATTTCATTCTCTTTTTCTTATGGCCAATAATTGTTAGTATTACGTTAAGATCGTATTGCGTCATTTCCAAAGTAGGTCATTACTTCCAAATTTGCTATAAGCTTTCATGAATAAAACTCGAATTTGTCAAGATACTTCCCCCATTAACCAAAACGTCCTTTATGTATTCATCACCTGTACAGTTCCATCCGTCTCCCAAGTACCCAGGTTTACATGTGCAATTGTAGGATCCGTTGATGTTGTGACAAACCGCATTAGAACTGCAATTGTGAGTTCTTACTTCACACTCATTAAAGTCTGAAATCATATAGAACAATAGAGATTGGCTTAGTTTGCAGAGTGAATTCCTCTCAGCTTTCTAAAGAGTGAGGCCAGCACTGAGAAGAAAGTTGTTAAAGAAATGCATGAGAAAAAACAAAAAAACAAAGTTTCTGATGCCGGCCATGTTAGGAGACAAAACATTTAAAATACAAGGTACTAAGCATTAACCTGTCCACTTAAAATTTTGAGGTAATATGGTCTACTATCTAGCAAAGAATTGCTATAAAGAGCATCTTATCATGAAAAAATGCTTTCGATGGCATTCACAATGACTAAAGTACGAAAAATAGAGTGTAGCCAAATGTCGTGGGTGGGTGTGGGTGTGGGTGTGGGTGTGGGTAAATGTCGTGGGTAGAAAAAGTATAGAAAAAAAGTAATAATAAACTAAAAGAAATTGAAAAAAAGAAATAAATAGAATAAAGTTGTTAAATATTTATGAAACAAAAATCTCCAACTCCTTGATTGCCCTTTTCGTCACGGCTTCTTCTTCGTCCTCTTCCAGATATTTCCTTAGCCACGTGGGACTTGGCACCCCTCTCATACCATCTCTGTACAAAAGCAAGAGCCATATTATGGCTCTTGACAAAAGACATTACATGTTGCCGATGAAGATTTATCCACACCTGAGCTATCGCCGCGAAATAAACGAAACAGACGTAAATTATACGTGCAATTTGCAGAAAGTATGGGATCGACAGCTTTGACTCGCTGAATTGAATGGAAATAGCTGCTCACTATTAATCTTTATTCGATCTACAATTCCAGTGATCAGCGGAGATTTTTTAACACGAATAAATGCGATTACAGTGGGAAAGGTGAAGGAAAAAGGACAATTTTGAGGTATTTCATATTTTTGGATAGACGTCTTTCCTAAAGAAGTTTTAGGCTAGCTAATAGCTTACGAAGGAACCACCTTCGTGCTCAACCTTTCAAGTTAAGGCGAGACTGCATGTAAATTTTATTGCATTGCCGTACCTACATATAATTTTCTTGATTCTTTTTTTTTTTGTCTTGTGTACAAAATCTTTGCTATAACGACTCTAAATATCATTCTTTTAACTGAAAGGACGTTTCAGTCACGAATGTTAACTTTTTTGAGAAAAAGCAGTTCAGTCTCCAGTTTTCTATAGCTTGCTTCAGGTTTACATAGTGTACAGAGTTTCTTTTATTTTAGTCAGTTCCGTTTGTCCTAAAGGATTCGCTTATTTGCTTTGCTAACGCGGGAAAGGGGACTGACATGTACGCGGAGATTTTCGTTTCATTAATTTTTTAGTTTTCCTTTTTTCTTTGGAATTTTTTTTTTACCCACGACATTTACCCACACCGACACCCACGACCTCTACCCACTACCCACGACCCACGACATTTAGCTACACTCCGAAAAATATCACCTGTGCAATTATTTTCGTCCCCTTCATATCCAGATTTACATGTGCAGTTATAGGATCCTTTGGTGTTGTTACAAACCGCATTAGAACTGCAATTGTGAGTTCCTCCTTCACACTCATCGATGTCTGAAATCATACAGAGCAATGAAGATAAGCTTAGTTTGCAGAGTGAATTCCTCTCAGCTTTCTAAAAAGTGAGGCCAGTACTGAGAAGAAAGTTGTAAAAGAAATGCGTGAGAGAAAAAAAGCAAAGTTTCTGATGCCGCCATTAACATAATACAAGGTGCTAAGCATTAAACTTTCCGCTTAAAATTTGAAGGTAATATGGTCTACTATCTAGCAAAGAATTGCTATAAAGAGCATCTTATCATTGAAAAATAAAAACAGCAATGCTTTCGATGGTATGCAAAATGAGGAAGTTACGAAGTAAATTACCTGTGCAATTATCCCCGTCTCCTTCATATCCTGGTTTACATGTGCAGTTATAGGATCCTTTGGTGTTGTTACAAACCGCATTAGAACTGCAATTGTGGGTTCCATCTTTGCACTCATTGATGTCTGAAATTAAATTGATCAATAATAGCTACAAACTTAGTTCGCATTCGCGTGTTTTAGACATTCCCAGGTTAATATCTACAGTGAAATCAAGAGAGAAGGCTGCTAGTCAGAAGGTAGTAATAGTATTAGAAGTAAGTAAAAAAAAATATTGTTATCGACACCACGTTGAATTTTTTTGAAAATTAAGGTTGCCTTACCATAACTTTTGCCTTCTTTTTATTTCGTGGGTCTCCTTAATGCATTGAAAGTTGAATCGAGAGTTTTCCACCACCAACCCTACTACTTAACTAAAGCCGTCTCAGCGAGTGTGAACCTACTTAGTTATTTTTAAAAGTCTACGGACATTGAGAAACGGCAAGTTTCACAAGAAATAAAAGAACTGAGACCAGAAAAACAAAACTGAACAACTTTACTCCAACCATCACAACATGACTTTGTCACGAAACCTTTCTTCATTCACCAAAACCATCATTTACCTGTACAGGTCCATCCATCTCCCGTATATCCAGGCTTACAAGAGCAGCTGTAGGATCCTTTGGTGTTATTACAAAACGCATTAGAACTGCAATTGTGAGATCCCGCATTACACTCATTGATGTCTGAAATCATATTAAACAATGCATGGCAACCTGAGTTTGTGATGAAAAGAAATACATGAGGAAAAAAGCAAAGTTTCTGATGCCGGTCATTGATGTTCTTCTTCTTCTTCTTCTTCTTCTTCTTCTTCTTCTTCTTCTTCCATGAAATCTCACCTCCTTTAAAAATGAAGATTCTTGCAGGAGGAGATTGACAAAACATTGAAAATACAAGGTACATTGTACCAAGTGTTATAAAACATTCCGCGTAAAATTTTGACTGAGGTAACATGGTCAACTACCTGACAAGTAATAATCAGTAATAATCATTTTACTACGGAAAAATAAAAACGGCAATGCCTTCGATGGCACGCAAAATGACTAAATTACGAATAACATCACCTGTGCAATGATTTCCGTCCCCTTCATATCCTGGTTTACATGTGCAGTTGTAGGATCCTTTGGTGTTATTACAAATCGCATTAGAATTGCAATTGTGGGTTCCTTCTTTGCACTCATTGATGTCTGAAATCATATTGATCAATAATAGAAACAAACGTGTTTCGCATTTGTGTTTTAGACTTTCCACCGTTTACATCTACAGTGAAATCAAGAGAAGAAGTTACTAGAAGGTAGTAACAGTATAAGTAGCAAGTCACAAAATCGGTGTTGAATCCAAAAAAAAGCTAGATTTTCCTCTGTCTGTTAAGACATTGACTTATTGTTTAATTTGCTTTTTGTTGTCGTTGTTTTTGTTGTTGTTGTTGTTTTTTTTTTCACTTTCGCCCATGAACTTAATTAGTTATGAAAAAATTAAGACTTTTGACAATATTCAGTAAAAGATTATGGCAAGAGCCCATAATGGTTGGACCCACAGTTTCGACATTTGACATTCTTGATCTTTGTATGTCACTTATGTTCCCTCGCAAAGTTTTATTTGGTTAAAACTCTCCCTTAGCTGCTCACGGTAAGTTATCAAAAAATATGTACAACCCGATTTCATCGGCTCGCATTGGACTTGGCAGCTAGAGTGGTCACACGTAGGGTATGCAGGGTGGAAATTCAATGTTTTACCCATTAAGGTATTGCTGAGGGCTAAAGAGGATGAGTTTGGGTTTTTTCCTCAAGAAATGCCCATATATAAAAAAAACAAATGCCGTCATACTTTCATGATCCATGGTATTCTTAAGGGGTCAATTACAGCTAAGAGCAAAAGGCCGCGCCCTGATTAGTGTCCTGTAGGGGTTTTAATACTAATTTCAGACGAGCATTTTTCATTGAAGTCTTCCCGCCCCCTCGCGAGCTCAATAAAATGAACTTCCTAGCAAAGAGCGTAGAGGTATTACTCAGGCTCAGGCCATATCAGGTTTTCTTCTTTTACAGTTGAGATGCTATTTAATGGAGCCGAAACCAATTGTGGAATTGCACGCATTTTAGGCATCCTACTGATGAACAGTTGCGACACGTAGATATATATTTTTTAGCAACTAAGATAATTTGCAGTCTGTCTACTTTGAATTGAAGATTAGCTTTCTTTTACCAACTGCTACTTCTTGACAAGAAGCCCTAACACGCAACTCAAATAACCAAGAAACACACACAAGATTACGAAAACGTAATGCAAAAATTTCGTGGAAAATAGTACTTGAAAGTTTGCGACATTTAAAGAAGGCTAATTTAAACTCACAGGATAACAAAACCGTAAAAAAACCGCTCGTTTCATACACTGCCGTGCGAAATGACATGGACGGCTCAAATTATCTTTATTACGATTTAAAATCCTTTGATTTAATCAGTTGCTTTAAAAGAAACTTTCAAGAACAACTTACCATTCTCACAGTGTTCACCAGTGAAACCAAAAGGACATAAACACCGATATTTTTTCTCTGTGAATCCAGACTGACAGGTACCGTTGTTATGGCAACGGGGATTATCACAAGCACTCTTTAAAGAACAAAAATCATGTCTGATTTGCAACAGAAGTTACTCCAAACCTTCATGATCGAGCGTCAACTATAAACTAAGGGATGACTATGACGATGATGACAATGATAATTATTACAAAGATGATGATGATAATAGGGAGCTTAAACAACGATGACGTCGAAGACAACGAAAACGTCGAAAAAGCAAATAGGTTTAGTTTACCAAATTTCAAAACAAACAACTTTCCACGTGGATTAAGCTTAATTGTATATTTCGTTGGTGTCGTTTCATCACCTGCCTAATGTCACGTTTCTGGACAACGATTTCTATTTTTTTTCCCTTGTCTTTAACTTAGATACTGTCCTTTAGAATTTAGCACCCGAAAAATTCACCAACATTCACCTCAAATCGCGACATGGAAAAAGAGTGATGACTTTTGAAACAGCTTGAGTTAACTTTTTTAAGAGACGTTCACTCCTAATGACGAAGATGACGTCTCTTGTGATGAAGATGACTATGATGAGATAATGATCGCCTTGAAGATGATGAAAGCAGATCATAAAAGAAAAAAAAAGAAGAAAAGAGAAGACAAAAAACTTACAATTGCGCCATGATATAAGCAGCCTTCCCTCTCTTTAAAGTCTGCATCGCGCGCTCGATGTGTTGAATTGTTCAGTTCACATCGTTTTTGTCTTTGTATTTCATAATTAACACTGACGCAGTTTGGTTCGTTGTAACAAAGCAGTTCACAGAGACCCATATCCGGGACATATTGGACAATTAAGATCGCGTGGCCCTCCAAACATTTGTCAGCAATTAGGAAATAACTCGGAAACGCCAGTAGGCGGCAATTACCTGAATTGCAAAAAGAAAAAAATTGCATTTAGCAATTCCAGGAGCCCATAAGGTGGCCAATTCTGACTTTTCTGGGGGCAAAAAGAGCTTTGATTAAAAGCAACTGTCCTTTATAAACAAGATTGAAGTTCATGGAACGTAATAACTTATATTTTCGGTTGTATTTCCTTACTCTTGCAGCTACGTTTTATCTGACATTTAATCATGAAACTACCATGCATGTTAATTAAACTTGCTGGGGTTATTTGGAATCGCATCAAACTGGCTTAAAACAGCATAGTATATCAAATAATGAGAAAAAAGAGCTGGAATTTAAGTTAGTTCTCTAGGCCCACTTTCTGTCAATTAGTGGAGCTCTAACAAGAAAACTCCCTTTTTTAGGAAAATATATACGATAATTTTTTTTTGTAAAAGCCAAACAAAAGGCTGAAAAAAGGAAAAGGAAGATGGTATTCCAACCCGTCTTGAATAGTGGTAATCTGTCGTATTTATTGTGAAAATATTTTCCCCTAATCAAGCAAAAAACAGAATTCTTTGTTTCCTGGAAACTTCCTTCTTATGAACGAGTTTATAATCCGAGTATTAAACCATAGTGACAATATGGAAACTCAATTTTATATTTCTTAAAAAACATTATCTTGCACTTATCTCCTGTTATTTAACTTTTAAATACGTTTCCATGTTGTACATTGAGTGCGCTGTCAACTTTGTAATTGAACAAAATTAGCAAACCTCAGGTACTGAATAGACAACACAGCTAAAGAAATTAACCATAAGCCGTACTAAAAGTCATATTTATAGGCAGTATATTAGAGAAGAAAATTTTGCAGCTACTCTTGTTTCCAATTTTTAAAGTCGGTCTAATTAATATTTTTTTTTTTATCTTGTTTCAAGAGATAAATGTGTTTCTCACTATTTTGTCGCTCAATTTTGAAAATAGCAAGCCAAATATGATTGAAACAACAAGGCGGAAAGAGAAGAACTTACCATCCAAACAGCTGAAGCAAATTCTTAAAGAATGCATATACAGAATAAAGAAAATACTGTAGTGAAGAACAACTCCCATGATCGCTCCCTTGTTCGCAGATCGCAAGTCTCCTGAAAAGTCGAGTGTATTAAGTGCGGTTAAGCTACAACGGGGATGTAAGTTATAGTATACCGGTAAACAGTTCCATATCACCTGTCGCATTTTAACATAAACTTCAAAACTTAGATAAATTCTTTGTGTTAATGAGATAGTTTAATAATCACTGGAAACATTTTACTGATACTTCACAGTTTATACTACTACATCAGAAATTTCTGTAATTTGATTGGCTTAGAGCAGTGGTATTGCAGCTTAATTTGAAATACCCACGTGTGAAAATTACAAACCTTTTGCGGGTAGTAGTATAAACAAGTAATAGCATGATTTGTACGTGATATTTGGCATAAATACTACTTGTGATATTTCAAAATTGTCTCAAATTTCACCCGCCTAACGGCTCATGAAATAAGTTGTAAAAATTTTGAAATATCACTCGTGGTATTTATGCCAAATATCACTACAAATCATGCTATTACCTATACTAACACATACATATGCACACACAGAGACAATTCCAGATCTATTGAAGATGTAGATTTTCTAGCGTTAACTGTGCTCTCATTAATATCGTCTTTAGATTCTTACACCGTTCGTGGTAAACAAAATTTGGCATAAATTAGTGTTAAAAGATTATAATGATCTTTAGTAACTTTGTTTCAAAATATTAGGGCCTAGCACGATAGGCCATTGTCGCCAGGCTATCTCAGACTCGCTATGAAACTTTTTGATATGAAAAATAGGGTAGATTTTAAAAAAAAATATCATCCATTATTCAACATAAGTTCACAAATTTCAATTATTTCACGGCCTCTATGCCAATGTTTTTACATCAGAGCAGTGAACCCTTTCACAACTGAACTTAGTAAACCGCAAATAAATCTTAGAATAAGATGGAAAATAAAACAAAATTGTTACTTTGCATGTAGACAATGGTCTAATAAATAATGGAAAGATAAGCAGGTGTTGACTGGACGATTTCCCACCCTATTTCTAATGCACTAGAACATGATTAGCTCCGTGGGTGTCTACTAAATCTAAATGGGACCAACCATGCTTGGCCACAGGCATACCAAGCTCTTATCTCGGTACGTTTTACAGGGTCATGTGGTTATACATTCGAGCCCCGCTTTGCGGACATCCGCTTTATTGAACGCTTCGTTATAACGGACAGCTTTCTTTGTTCCTGAACAAAGCCCTTACACTTTAAAATCACAACATTGCTGAAGTATTTCTAACGGGCCAACGAGGCCATATACAGGCCTGTAGTCTAGTAAACACGAGCACTACTTAGCTCATCACCGCTATACTTAAACAAAATGGCTCCGTCAAGTCACATGACTCCAGACTTCCCGCGCTAGGGAAGTTAAGTTCCGGATGTACACTACAATTGCTATTACTAGTTCCAACGTAGACTACGAGTAGTCCCCGATTTTTCCTCAGGGATAGTAGAGCGACCGAAACGCGAGCGCGCGTGAAAATCACCCACGCGAGAGAATGGCGACACGTGTGTCGCCTTTTCTCGTGTGGGGTGATTTTCACGCGCGCTCGCGTTTCGCTCGCTCTACTATCCCTGAGGAAAAATGGGGGGGACTACTCGTAGTCTAGTCTCAACGCAGACTACGTCCTTTTTTATTTGCACTCTTTACTTAATCAAAAACAGTTCTCTGTGTATTAAACTCATTTATTACTTTAAAAATTCAGAAATTGACGTCTCTACTTCATTTTATCCCGTCTAACGTAGCGCTGTAAACATCGAAATGCTGATATACGAGGACAACTTCAGCAAAGGCAAGGATTAATACAGCACACGGTTGATAACAAACTGTCATATTATCGAGGTTAACTTCCTCCCGTCTGAGAATCTATTGATTGGAGTCAGGAGCTTATGGCTGTTGGAGTAGAAAAAAGTAACCTTTGTCCGCATTACGGGTGTTCGTATAACTATTATGGGTGTTAAAATGTAACGGCTTTGTGCAGGGACAAACAAAGCTGTCCCGTAAAAACGAAGCATTCGTATTAAGCGGATCAAATGTCCGCAAAGCGGGGCTCGAATGTTTAGCCACAGAACCCTGAAAAACGTACAGTGTTCAGGTAGAGCGTTTATGAGGCCAGTCCGTTGGTCCGTCGAAAATTAGAACAGTGGCGTCAGGAACGACGAAACGCGAGCGCATAGAGCTTGGTTAACCTGTGGCCCGTAGGTTTGGTCCAAGTCCCTCAGCGGTCAGTAGAAGTGCAACAAGGAAGCCTCCATCGGTTTGACAACTTTTGAAAACTTCTCTTACCTCCAAAATCGTAATGAAGTTGGCATTTCCTCGACTTCATGTGGATGCATCGGCTGTTGCCGGACTTATTGAGTGGTATTGCAATCGACTGGGAATGAGTGTCGTTAAAGAAATAAAGAGTGAAAAGGAGCTGATACACTGGGTTGGTTATCAGAACGCGCCGCAATCAGCGGTTGTAGAATTTCGCTCGTCTCTCAAGCAATCTACACCACCAAAGTACTACAAACCGCAACCATCGTCTGGTGTTTACTGGAAGATAGGATTATCACTTGCAGATGTAGACACTGCTCGTTCAAAGCTTGTACGTCAGGACGTGGAGGTCACTTCTCCAAGACGGTTCCGGGATATCGGATACATGTGCCACTTAAGCGACCCATATGGATTTGCATTAGAGCTGCTGCAACAGGATTTCCAGACTAGTGTTACTTCTGAGCGCGTACAAGCCTCTCTTGAACCGAACCTGGCGCTTGGGCAGGAAGCGCACATCGTGCAAATCACTCTTCGTGTTTCTCATATCAATCGAAGCCTTCGATTTTATCAGTCTACACTACGGCCAGGTATGAAGTTACTGTCAATACATAGCATTCCAAACATGTTCAACCTATACTTCTTAGCCTGTACAGACGAGAGGCCACCTTCAGATGATGTAAACGCAGTGGAAATCAGGGAGTGGCTTTGGAAAAGGCCTTACACCACTTTAGACTTGCAGCATTATCCTGGTACGGACCGGAAGTACAACACTGCAGACTTGAATCATGAAAGTGGCTTTACTGCGCTCGCGTTTGTGGTATTTTGGGTAGTATTGGTCACATGATGTAAGATGATGTGAAATAAACAGTTGCCAAATACGTTCTTGGTATACGCACGTGTGTTTATTTGTTCCTCATTATTCGCTTCTAAAATCCTTCAGAATACAAAATTGGCGACAAGGATGGGATCCTCAATGTAAACAGAGTGTGCACATGGCTGCAGTGATTATGCCGGTCGATTTGAAGCATATGTTGCGGCGAATGACATCGACGATGACAAAAAAGTGAATGTTTTTCTGGCTGTTATTGGTCCAGACGCTTACAAGTTGTTGAAGAATTTGTGCGATCCAGAAAATCCGAATGCCAAGACGTTTACACGGTTGACGCAGCTTTTGCAGAGACACTACGAACCTGCTCCCATTGTTATTGCTGAAAGACACAAGTTCTGGACTGCGTCACAAGGAGAGAGCGAGACTGTATCAGAATTCGTCGATAGACTGAAGAAATTGGCTTCGAGCTGCAGCTTCATTGAATTTCTATCTCAAGCCTTAAGAGACAGACTACTTTCTGAATTACATTCGAAAATGTCAACGTCACCTCCTGTCGATATATTACAATTGACGAGCTCCTACTAAGGATCCAAAGGTTCTGCATGCCGGTGATGCAGTTTAACATTACAATGTTCCAGGGAAAATACTCTACACTGTAGATGCGCTCTCCCGAGGCCCTGGGAAGTCTCCCGAGATAGAGAGTCTGAGAGACCTAGAAACTGAATCAGATTTCTTTTTTAACGCCGTCATGGTAACATTTACCAGCCTCAGACCAGCACCTGCAGTATGTCCGGGAAGGATGGCCTAACTGACAAGCGTAAACTGTACGGACAAGTTGGAAAATCAAGTGCCCTGAAAAGATGCGTTACGCAAAACACTTTACCTCACGTCACGAAATAACTGCGTTACATGTGACGGCCTCTCGCCAAGGAAGTAGGTAAACATATGTTGAAGCCACAAATCAAGAGAGGATAAAGGGGACAGAGAAGGCATCCCCCATACACACCCTATTCCATAGGTAATTCGTCTCGAGTTATTTTTAGAATCGGGATAAAGTTACCTCGCGCGCCGAGTGGATGTTTCGCGGAGGATTCACATGACTAAAAGCCGAGCAAAAACTGTCGGGCAAAAGGCAGTGAAATCGTAAAGACATCGAAAGCATTGCTCTCTGCAAACTGTAAATTATAAATGATCCTGAGAGAATATTCAGTGTGTTAAGGATTTACCTGCTGTACTGTTAGCTCTATAGAAGAGAGGAAGGGCGATTATTTTTTAATTTCCATTTCTCTCCGAGTCTTCCGCCATTTTTTCTGCTTCAATTCGGGAAGGACGCGTGGCTCTGAGCGTGGGTCATCCACGCGGAACACATTCGCGCTATGTGATTGGCTGTTGTCTAATACCCCTTTGGATCTGTGTGTCTTAAAAATAACTCGATACGAATTACCTATGGAATAGGGTGTGTATGGGGGATGCCTTCTCTGTCCCCTTTATCTCTCTTGCACAAATGTAAGAACTGACTACAAATGTAATAAAGTCCTCAAATGTAATAAAAAAGGACAACACATGTAATAAAAACGTCAAATACTATGCAAACTCGAAGGAGCCCCGCCCTCAATTTAAGCTCCACGGCGCTCCTTCAAAAATCAAAAGCACAATTTTCTATTGCATTTAATCGAAAGAGCGCCGTCCTCAAATTTAAATACGAAAATCAATAAGCGCTTCGAAAAATACAATATTCTACAAATTTTTCTTGTCTGATGAGCGGGCGCTCACTAACGTCTTTTTTCGCTATTTCCGATTTTTTTACAATTTAGTGTGCGCAAATTTTCATTGACTGAAGTTTAATACTAAAGCAACCTTGCAGACCTTGTAATTCGACTTAGATAATAAATTTTGATCATTAATTGGGTGTATCACGTACGATAAACAAAATTTGAAGTTGTTTCTGTACTCTTTATAAGAAATGGAAGTCCAAAACAAAACAAGGTTTATATTTACATCAGTATGCTTCAAGCTTACATCAGCAATGATAATCAACATATTAAAAGGTTCGATAAACAAAAATTAATAAGCGCTGCTGTATTGCTGAGAAATGCGGCACTCTCGCTTGAATGGGTTGAATGCCGGAGAGAAATATGTTTATTCGAAACAGTGCCAAGGTTTTTATTTATTTTTCTTCTTCTCATACGCGACTCTTGTTTGAGGTCGGTGCCTTTTCGATTAAATGCAGTAATACATTGAATTTTTTGAAAGAGCGCCGCGGCGCTATTGCTTTTGGATTTAAAGAAGGCAAGGTTATTCGGGGTGGCGCTGATTCGATTAAATGCAATAGGATATTGTGTTTTTTCGAAAGAGACCCTCGGCGCTCATTTTTGCCCTTATTTTTACTTCTCTTTTCTTCCAAGTGAATGTGTACTTTATGTTTTCCTCTGCCCGCCCGCCTCGATTAGCCTGGATACGATACAGTAAATCATCAAAATGCGTAAACTTCGTGAAGTTATCAATGAGGGGAGCCTAAAATCACAGAGATCAAGCCGGTTTTGGTGAAAATTGAGAAATTTTTGTGATTGGATTCGATATCATGAAGAAATAGGCGCTCGCTTTGCTCGCACATTCCAAGAGCCAAACGTATTGGAAACGATTATTTATGTTGTGATGATATAGAACAAAACTTGTTACGTAGTAATTAGAAAAATGTCTTTTCTATAGAAAGCCTAAAATACTTTTTCCTCTCATTTCCCTGGTTTTCCCCATTAAGTATTTTTAGTCTACTTAGTAAATAACAGGAAGTTTAATGACAGACATTAAGTCCTAAAATTTAACTCCTTCACATGAAATTTGTTATAATGACGGTAAATCAATGACGGAAATAAAGAGAGTGGATTTAGACTCATTAATAGCCTGCGAGCAAGCTCTCCGGGGCGCTCTGGCGGCGGGGCGGAAAAAGGAGGGAGAGCTAATGCAACTGCGTCTCTGAAATTTTAATTCCACTTCCCTGTGGCATCCCATCGACTGAGCTCGAAGATTTCCACCTATCAGCGCGAAGAGAAAACAAGCTGGAATGTAAACAAACATTGAAAAATACAGGAAAGCACGCGCCAATTGCAAGGCTCATTTTTAATGTCATCTCCGCCAATCACCATTTCACTCGACTTTTTCAATACAGAAATTCAACTTCCAGGGACGTATTTGCAAGCTCTCCTTCCTTTTCTCGCCTCGCCGCCAGAGCCCCCCTATTTCAAAATTGTCTTCAGAGAAACATTTGAAATCGTTTGCTTAAATACCAGATAATTTGAGCAAACGTTTTTTTTTTTTTTTTTTTTTTTGGTAGGGCAAATTCGAATTTGGATTCAGTCACTTGCCTTCACTTGATTCTGAAATTTCAGAAATTTAGCCTGGACCATTTGTATTATGTCTTTTATCCTGGGTATCAACAGTTTTTTGAAACCCAAAATCCTGCTCGCACTGAAAGTCCTTCAAGTGTTTCCCGGGAAAATAATTGCGTGAAAATATTTTTACGTGTAACCGTAAGTCACCTTGGTAAAGTTTACCAGAGTAAATATTTACCGCGGCAATTTTACGACAGGAAAGACCTTTTACCATGGTGTGTGTGTAACCGCACGTAATCATCCTTTTCTTTTTTTTTTCTCCCGCTCGCGCCTCCTAAACCTGACCCACTCCCCCCTACCTTGAATGTAGAGAGCTGGCTCGCTGGTTAATTTACCCCTCGACTTCTTCATTTAACACTCTCCCTCTCTGACATAGGGACGTGAGCTAATACGTTTCAGAGCTTTTCCAAAAATAGAACTATTATAGTATTTATCATAGGCGGAAATTTCAATAACATCGAGGAGAAAGTATTGTTGGTTTTCACATGACCTCACTAAAATTCAAACTTAGAAACTATCGATCCTACCGAGATTTTACTTTCACGATGTATTAGAGCAGCTGAAAATTAATTTTCACACAAATTTCCGCTTCAAAAGGGTTCTCGGGTTTGTGATAGAGTACGCTTGAATTTCTAAGCTTTTGCGTGACGCGGCATTTACATGACGGCTAAGAGAGCTGTCATGTAGGTTAAAAAAATGACTTATTTCAAGAAATTTTGCAATCTAAACAGTTCGTTTATTAGAACAAGAATTACCATAATGTTTATGAGTTTCTCGAAGAATAAATTCACGCTTTTCTAGCAAAAAAAGGGTGAAAGATCGCAGATGTTTCTGTTGGGTTCCGTCCGCCATGTTGGAGCTCATCCAGGTGAGCACCAGCATGGCGTCTCCATACAAATCTCTATAAGTTTGGGTAAAACATTTCTTCGGATATCTCGTATACGAAATATTCCTCTAACCTGAATCTTGGCGAGGGTCTTTGTATATGTACCTCCTTTCATTTCCCAGATTCTGAACTTTATCTATTGAACGGTTTTGATTTTTATTTTGATCTATTTTTAATGGCGTGACACTGAAAACCAGCAACATATTAAATAATCGTCTCTTTATTTAGCCGTTATTTGATACCCTGCTGATAAATATTCCCATTCTTTAGACAAACTTTCAATTTCTGTTGATCTTGATCTTGATCTTTGTGTTTTTGTTGTTCTTTCATCAGGTATCTTTTCCGAGTGAAAGGGAAACAGAAGTTACAAGTTATTTCTTGAAATAGTTCACGTGACAATACCAAAACGCTGAAAAGATACCTTCAGTGGGTGAAATGGCAAAGAAATGTCGACATAATAAACTTAAATAAACCTTTTATTTATAGACAGCAGCTTACTGTGACGACGAAACAAATCCTTGTTCGATCTTCAGGTCTTAACTCAGTGGGACTATGCGCAATACAGAGATTAAGATTCACGTTTACGCCAAACGGCAGACGTGAATTTGTACCACGTGACCAAGTTTTTCCCATAATTGTCGTTAACTGTTTATTACTTCAACTTAAAAAATAAGTAGTGTCACGCCAGTTTTATACATAAAGAATTGCTCTGGACAGTTTTTATCTGCTTATTTTCTATTCTGAGAAATTCTCAACTTGAATCTGACGTCTGCCGTTTGGCGTAAACGTGACTCTTAATCTCTTTAAAGAGTAGTTGATCTGCAATGCATGTGCTTCTATCAGTTGCCTTTTTTTGGTAAAGTGAAATGTCTCTTGAAAGCTTTATTTTTGTTGATCGGAATGTGCTTGCTAAAAGTTTCTACACCTCTATCGCATATGAGAGCGCAAGTTAATCAAAACAACTCTGGGCTTTAATTAACTCGTGAACTTAGTGTTCAATTATTATATGGCTGAATCCGTCAGCGGGCAAGGTGAAATGAATCCTGCGTTCTGATTAGCGGGATCGGGATTTTTCCCGTTGGTCCCAAAGAAAATGCTGTCTTTTTGGCCTTGCAATAAAACCTTTATTGATCAAGCCGAGCTTGTTCGATCAAATCATGGCTGTATACTGGCCTCGTCTCGGTCAATAAAAACGGAAAGGGGAACTCGGCCAATATCTAGCCATCTTGACCTTCTGTTTGGTCAATAATGGTTCAGGCAATTCCAAGCGTGCCCATACCCCCTCCCCCCGGACATTTGTTATTATTATTATTATTATTATTATTATTATTATTATTATTATTATTATTATTATTTATTTATTTATTTTTGGAAAAGCTGCAAATGCCCCACGGTGGGGCCGGGCGGCTCATCCAAAAACCCCACGGTGGTGCATGAAAAAGTCGGGCAAATGCCCCACCCAGGGGTAACACTAAAACTGTATTTTCCATTAAATAAGCTGCAAATGCCGTATTTAATTAGTTTAATGGACATATGTAATAATCTGATCAAAACGTGTGAAACACCCCACGGAAATCGCTTCTAGCCGCCAGTTATAATTATTGCAAAAAAGATTTATCCGATCTCATTCACATCAATGACAAAACTATAAACTAGAACTTTGATAAGACCTTTCTTATTTTCGAAGTTATTTAAGATAGTGAATGATAAACAAATAACCGACAAACTTATAAACAAGATTATTTTGTCATCACGAAGGACCCGTCCCGTCAACGTCGTGGCATTGATAATTCAAACACGAAGTTTATATTAGCTTTCAAATAACTCGCATAGTTTTTCTAGGCCTCTCTACCTCAACCATTCGCTCACAAAGAAAGTGCCTTTTCCTTTAAACAATGAATTGATTGTTTTTCCTCCATGTGCGAACTGATCACGTTGGCTAGATCGCGGGAAGCAGTTCCTTAGACTCCCCGGGGAGGGGGAGGGGGGGGACTCCGCATATGAAGGTGAAACGGATGCTCGTCGGAAATTTGAATTAAACCCCTAAAAGAGACCGATCTGGGCGTGGCCCAAGCTTTTTTTGACCCCTAAAAGAGACCATGTTAAAACACAGACAAATCAAAACAATGGACAAAGACGTCTTCTTTAGGGACTGTGCAATAATTATCAGGAGGGGGGCTGAAAAACTAGAGTTATCTAGCAAACACTTAGACAGTACCCCCCTCCAAAACAAAACAAATAAGTTCTAAGCCCCCTCTGCTATGCCTTTAAGTTAATACCTTTTTATATTGTCATGCTACTGTAAGCGTACGCTTACTTGTTGGATTTCGTCGTCTGGAACAAATAGTACCTCATATGAATGTTCAACAAAGCCATCCGTTTCGGACTCATCTGAATCCAAATCAGAGTTGTTTTCGGAAGTACTTGTGTGAGAATCAGAGTCGTATTCGGAATCACAGGATAGGAGTTCTGTGTCACTGTCACTGGCACTATTTCTTTCGTTGTTTCGTGTTCCAGTATGCGAGAAATCAAGAGCACCTGCTACCAGCGCAGCTTTACTTCCAGATACATGAAGATTGTTATGAGCCAGATATATATGGAATTCAGCAAATCAATTCAGTCGATGAAGAAACATTACTTTTACTCACATCAAAAACCGACAAAGCTTGTCTACGAGATCTGTTTGATTCCCATTGTTTTATGGGGGAAGCTGAAAAACAAGTTCATGATTTTTGCTTTACATAGGATCAGCTCAATTAATTAGAAGACGGGTTAAAATTGATCAGTTGTGAATTTGCTTTTCATTTTGATGGAATATTCTCAACAATCGTTTAACAGGAGTCCGTATTGATATTTGTTACAGTCTATCATGATGCCTGTATTGAGAATCTTTTATTGCGTTTAATTTTATTTACATTTCGAATAAAACTTAAGGCCCCCCCCCGTCAAATGAGTGATTTTACTTTGCGCCCCCTATCTTGGCAGCAATTTTATTTAATGCCCCCCCTCTAGTTTTTCAGCCCCCCTGATAATTATTGCACAGTCCCTTAGGAATTGATGTTATAGAAAACTTGGATTATGTGAATGGAGTAAATAAAACGAATTAAAAATATACATATCAAATATATGTTTTTATATTTTTTCGCGTGCAACCCTAAACGAGACCTTCACGGCTAAATAGGATGACGTTTTGCCCAGAACACCATAAGTGAGACCAAAATCGGAAATTTACACCCCTAAGCGAGACGACGAGCATCCGTACCACCTTCATATGCGGAGTCCCCTCCCCGGGCTTAGACTCGGGATGCAAAAAATACTGTATGGACAAAGGATAATGATGAAACAAAAACTAAACTTATCTTTTCAAAGCATATGTGTTACATGTAAGAATATTCTTTATAAAAATGTCAATAACTATCAAAAAAGGCATTTTTAAAGTGAAATATTGACAAAGGAAGAATGATAACTGTTTCTAGAAGAACTGGCAAATGCCCGGCGGGAATAGGCATGCTTAGAATTGGAATTGATAGAGCCATAACTGAGCATATAATTATATAGCAAGTATTAAAAAATAGACCATAAAGTTCAGTGAAGAGGAAGAAGAAAGACCAATAGGACAGAAGGGCAGTTAGTATAAATAAGTAACAATATCGTAAACTGCGAAAGCCAACTGTAACATCTTTTATTTTAAATCTGTGACAATAGTTTGTTATGTTTCATTTATCATTTCAGCAGCAGTCTAACAAAATGTGTTACAGCCAAGTTATTTAAAAGACCATTGCGAATCAAGCAGAAAGCACCGACAACCGCTATTTGCTTGTTTAGAAGTTGACTGGTTTGAGTTTCATTTCAGCTCGTTTAACGGAATAGTAATAACCATTCCAGTGATTCCATTTCACATAGAGATGATAGAGGCCGTTCAGGTTGGAAAAATAACAACTCTTGTACCACCAGGCCCCCTTGTAACGTGTAGCACAGCTAGCAGACCAGAAGTCATTGTCTCGATCTTTAGTGGAGAAAGGAGAGTCTCTGTGATAACTTAGCGAGTCACCAGCATTTCCTGGAAAATGAAATTGGAAGAAACGATATTTCCTTAAATTTATCTCCACATAACTGTGATTTTTAATACGACGGTTAAGATCTAAAAACAGCGGGAAACATTGAATCCCTTTTCATGGTCGAAGTAAAATCACTCTTATACTAACGCTCCATATTTTGTTTTAATTTGCTTTACTCTTATTTTATATATTGTAAATTGCGAAAGCCAATTGTAACATCTTTTTATTTTATAGTTTTTTTTTTCATCAAATCTGTGACAATAGTTTGTTATGCTTCATTTATCATTTCAGCAGCAGTCTAACAAAATGTGTTACAGCTAAGTCATTTAAACGATAATTGCGAATCAAGCAGAAATAAGCACTGACAACCGCTATTTGCTTGTTTAGAAGTTGACTCGCTTGAGTTTCATTTCAGCTCGTTTAACGGAGTAGTGATATCCCTTCCAGTGATACCAGTTCACACCATCAGCAAATGAAGAGTGACTTCCGCGGCGATAGAGGCCGTTCAGGTTGGAATGATGGCAGCTCTCGTACCACCAAGCCCCCTTAAAGTGTGCAGCACAATTATTTTTCGAGATGTCATTGTCTCGACCTTTGGTGGAGAAAGGGTAGCCACTCTGACGAGCTAGCGAGTCACCAGCATTTCCTGGAAAATGAAATTGAAAGAAACGATATTTCCTTGAATTTCTCTCCTCATAACTGTGATTTTTAATACGACGGTTAAGATCTAAAAACAGCGGGAAACATTCAATCCGTTTTCATGGTCGAAGTAAAATCACTCTAACGCTCCATATTATATATTAATTTGCTTTACTCTTATTTTATGATAGCGGTGTGATTATTACATCCTTCACTGTATGTGGGGCTAGTTGCATCTCTGTGGTGGGTATTTATTTCTTTAACGTCAAAATCATTAGCATTAACTTGGGCCTTTATAAGACTTTTCCCCGAACTCCATTTTTAATCAAGTAAGTAGAATATAATCACCGGAGTAAGTTCCAAGACTCAGCTTGTATTTGCTTCTCTCGTCTGTTATAGCAAAGTAGCTGTACTCGGCATAAGCCGTGTTTCTGTGGAAGTCCTCGAGATCCACTCGAAGTTTGCTTTTAGTTTTTGTCAGGCGGTGAATTTTGTCCAGTCCGAGCCAAAACTCGCCATTCAGATTTCCGAACCCTTTTTTGTAGTCGTTCCAGCCGCGGTAGAAATTAACCGAGCCATCCAGTCTCTTCTGGAACACTGTCCACCCCCCACCGGCTATTGTTTGGTCACAGTACACGTCAAAGACACCTTTGCCGTCTGGGTCGATCTTGTAAACTCCACTTGTTCGTTTTCCAGCTTTGTACAGTTCAGCGCAGTTCTTATAAGCTGGAAGACATGACATTTAAGCACTGCGTGTTAATTGGACATTTAATTGGCAGGATATGGCTACTTTACAACTTATAAAGTCAACAATAATATCTCCGTTTTATATACTGTATTGCAATTATGACACTGTATAAGAAACTGTGTAAGAAATTCAGGCCCGGAATAATATCGCTAAACACCTACCAAATTAGGTCTAACTGTCTTTAGTATAATTACATTAATGCAACAGAATTTGGAGTCAAACTATTCGAAGGTGGCTTGATAAAATTCCTCTTTTGCAAGTAACACAATTTACTGAAAACTGGTATGTTTATTGACATTTTTTTCTTCAAAGTGTCGGTAACTTTTAGTAACTTTTGCGAAATATTTTTTTCTACAGAATGGCTTCAACAGCGGCAAGAATTCACAAATGAAATAGAAAACATGGAAGTCGATGAATTAAATAAATGTCTGGCAAAATTTTACGTTTCCGTGAGGAAAACCGACGGCAGCCATTATAAGGAAGGGTTCAACATGTAATTGTTAATCAGCAGTCCTCCAAGACCTTCAATTTAAATTATGGTGTTCCTCAGGGGAGCTGTTTGGGACCTGTCCTTTTTCTATTGTATGCATCAAGGCTGTTTGAGGTTGTTAAGAAGCACCTTCCATCAGTTCATGGGTACGCTATTGATACTCAGTTGTACGTGTCGTTTCGTCCAGATTCGTTTGCTGCTCAAGATCAAGCGATTAAGGCCATTGAGAACTGCCTAGCTGATGTTAGGGCTTGGTTAGTCTCACACAGGTTGATGTTTAATGATTCAAAGACAGAAATTCTAATCATCGGTTCGTCGCAGCAGTTATCTAAGGTTACCATGGCTTCAATTAAAGTTGTGTTGGTGACTGTGACATTCAACCCCTTAAGCATGTTAGAAATCTTCGCACATGGTTTGATAACCATATGTCTATGAATACTCATATAGGAAAGGTGTGTAGTAAGGCATTTAGGGGGCTTTATAATTTTGGGGCAAATTAGGAAATATCTGTCTGCAGAATCAACAAAGTGTTGAATTTATGCGTTTGTTACATCAAATTTAGACGCTCTTTTGTATAAGCTTCCGCAATATCAATATGATCGACTTCAAAAAGTTCTTAATGCGGCGGCTCGGGTTACATGCTTAATTTTTTAAGTTTGCCCCTATTACTCCGGTACTTAGGGAACGTCATTGGTTGCCAGTGAAATTTAGAGTAGAATTTAAGATTGCGCTTTTAGTTTTTAAAACGTTGAACGGGCTGGCGCCACAATATTTATCTGAACCACTTGTTGTAAAGCGGTCTGATTCTGAAACATTGCTTGTAATCCCAAAGGTGACACGGAAGACTTTTGGCGATCGAGCCCCTTTCCAATGTTGGACCAACAGTATGGAATGCTTTGCAATCTAGCCTTAGAAACTGTAGGAACATTGACTCTTTTAAGGTAATAAGGTCCGCTGTTTAAAAAATTGCTATAAAAATCACCTTATCATGGAAAAACAAAAAGAGCAATGCTTGCGAAGGCATACAAAATGACCAAGTTACGAAAGAAATTACCTGTGCAATTTTTTCCGTCCCCTTCATATCCTGGTTTACATGTGTAGTTGTAGGATCCTTTGCTGTTATTACAAACCGCATTAGAACTGCAATTGTGGGTCCCTTTTTTGCACTCGTTGATGTCTGAAATCATATTGATCGATAATAGAAACAAACGTATTTAACATTTCTGTGTTTTAGACTTTCCCCTCTTTTAATATATCTACAGTGAAATCAAGAGAAGAGGTTGCTGGAAGATAGTAACAATATAAGTAGCAAGCCAAAACATTGGTGTCGAATCCAAAGAAAAGTTAGACTGTTTCTGTGTCTGTTAAGACGTTGACTTATTAGGGTCATTTATACGAGGAAAAATAAGACGCATCTTAAATAAGACGCGAACTGTACCATTTATACGAGCATGTCTTATCTAATAAGACGCGTCTTAGCTAAGCCGCGCCCCGTCTTATTTCTAGACGAAACGTGCCGTTTATACGGAAAGTTCGCGTCTTATGTAAGACGCGTCTTATTTTTCCTCGTATAAATGGCCCTATGTTTATTTTTTTTTTTGTCGTTGTTCTTTTTTTTTGTTTTTGTTTTTTCATTTTGACTCATGAACTAAATTAGTTATGAGAAAATTATAAGACTTTTGACATCAACAAGCCCTAACACGCAGCTCAAATAACCAAGAAACACACATAAGATAGCAAAAACATAAAGCAAAAATTTCGTGGAAAATAGTATTGGAAAGTGTGCGACAATTAAAAGAAGGCTAATTTAAAGTTATAGGATAACAAAACCTTAAAGTAAACGCTCGTTTCATACACTGCCGTGAGAAATGACATGAACTGCTCAAATTATCCTTATTACGATTTAAACTCCTTTGATTTGATTAGTTGCTTTAAAAGAAACTTTCAAGAATAACTTACCATTCTCACAGTGTTCACCAGTGAAACCAGAAGGACATAAACACCGATATTTTTTCTCTGTGAATCCGGACTGACAGGTACCGTTGTTATGGCAACGGGGATTATCACAAGCACTCTTTAAAGAACAAAAATCAGGTCTGATTTGTAACAGACGTTACGCCAAGCTTTCATGATCGAGCGTCAACTATAAACTACAAGATGAAGATGACGATGATGGTGATATGATAGGGAGCTTAAACAACGACAACTTTGCACGTGGATTAAGCTTAATGTTATCTTTCGTTGGTGTCGTTTCATGACCTGACTGATTTCACGTTTCTCGACAACGATTTCTATCTTTTTTTCTCTTTTTTAACTTAGATACAGTCCTTTAGAATTTAGCACCCGAAAAATTTACCAACATTCACCACAAATCGCGACATGCAAAAAGAGTGATGAATTTTGAAACAGCTTGAGTTAACTTTTTTAAGAGACGTTCACTCCTAATGACGAAGATGACGTCTCTTGTGATGCTGATGACTATGATGAGATAATGATCGCCTTGAAGATGATGAAAGCAGATCACAAAGGAAAAAAAGAGAAGAAAAAAGAAGACAAAAAACTTACAATTGCTCCATGATATAAGCAGCCTTCCCTCTCTTTAAAGTCTGCATCGTGCGCTCGGTGTGTTGAATTGTTCAGTTCACATCGTTTTTGTCTTTGTATCTCATAATTAACACTGACGCAGTTTTGTTCGTTGTAACAAAGCAGTTCACAAAGACCCATATCCGGGACATGTTGGACAATTAAGATCGTGTGGCCCTCCAAACATTTGTCAGCAATTAGGAAATAACTCGGAAACGCCAGTACGCGGCAATTACCTGAATTGAAAAAAAGAAAAAAAATTGCATTTAGCAATTCCAGGAGCCCATAAGGTGGCAAATTCTGACTTTTCTGGCGGCAAAAAGAGCTTCGATTAAAAGCAAATGTCCTGTATAAACAAGATTGAGGTTCATGGAACGTAATAACTTATATTTTCGGTTGTACTCCCTTACTCTTACAACTACGTTTTATCTGACATTTAATCATGAAACTACCATGTATGTTAATTAAACTTGCCAGGCTTAAAACAGCATAGTATATCAAATAATGAGAAAAAGGAGATGGAATTTAAGTTAGTTCTCTAGGCCAATTTTCTGTCAATTAGTCGAGCTCTATAAAGAAAACCCCTTTTTTAGGGAAATATATACGAAAACGTTTTTGTAAAAGCCAAACAAAAGGCTGAAAAAAGGAAAAGGAAGATGGAATTCCCACCTGTCTTGAAAAGTGGTAATCTGTCGTGTTTATTGTGAAAATATTTTCCCCTTATCACGCAAATAACAGAATTCTTTGTTTCCTGGCAACTTTCTTCTTGTGAACGAGTTTATAATCCAAGTTTTAAAACCATAGTGACAACATGGAAACTCAATATTATATTTCTTAAAAAGAATTATCTTGCACTTATCTCCTGTTATTTAACTTTTACATAGGTTTTCATGTTGTAAATTGAGTGCGCTGTCAACATTATAATTTAACAAAATGGCAAAACTCAGGCACTGGATAGACAACACAGCTAAAGAAATTAACCATAAGCCGTAAAAAAGTCATCTTTATAGGCAGTATATTAGAGCAGAAAATTTTGCAGCTACTCTTGTTTCCAATTTTTAAAGTCCGTCTAATTATTATTATTATTATTTTTTATCTTCTTTCAAGAGATAAATGTGTTTCTCACTATTTTGTCGCTCAATTTTGAAAATAGGGAGCCAAATATGATTGAAATAGCAAGGTGGAAAGAGAAGAACTTACCATCCAAACAGCCGAAGCAAATTCTTAGAGAATGCATGTACAGCGTAAAGAAAATACTGTAGTGAAGAACAACACCCATGATCGCTGCCTTGTTTGCGGATCGCAAGTCTCCTGAAAAGTCGAGTGTATTATGTGCTGTTAAGCTACAACAGGGATATAACTTATACAATACCGGTAAACAGTTCCATACCACCCGTCGCATTTTAACATTAACGTCAAAACTTAAATAAATTCTTTGTGTTAATGAGATAATTTAATAATCGATGGATACATTTTACTGATATTTCACAGTTTATACTACTACATGAGAAATTTCTGTAATTTGATTGGCTTAGAGCAGTGGTATTTCAGCTTAATTTGAAATACCCACATGTGAAAAAATTACAAACCTTTTGCGGGTAGTAGTATAAACAAATAATAGCATGATTTGTACGTAATATTTGGCATAAAAACCACTTGTGATATTTCAAAATTATCTCAAATTTCACTTGCCTAACGGCTCGTGAAATTAGGTATAACAATTTTGAAATATCACTCGTGGTATTTATGCTGAATATCACTACAAATCATGCTATTACCTATACTAACACATAAATATGCACAAACAGAGACAATTCCACATCTATTGAAGATGTACCTTTTCTAGCGTTAACTGTGCTCTCATTAATACTTAGATTCTTACACCGTTCGTGGTAAACAAAACTTGGCATAAATTAATGTTAAAAGGTCTTAATGATCTTTAATAACTTTGTTTCAAAATATTAAGGCCTAGCAGGATAGGCCATTGTCGCCTGGCTATCTCAGACTCGCTACGAAACTTTTTTGATATGAAAAATAGTGTAAATTTTGAAAAAACAATATCATCTATTATTCAACGATAAGTTCACAAATTTCAATTACTTCACGGCCTCTATGCCAATGTTTTTGAATCAGAGCAGTGAACCCTTTCACAACTGAACTTAGTAAACCGCAAATAAATCTTAAAATAAGATGGAAAATAAAACAAAAATTGTTACGTTGCATGTAGACAATGCTCTAATAAATAATGGAAAGATAAGCAGGTGTTGACTAGACGATTTCCCACCCTATTTCTAATGCACTAGAACATGATTAGCTCCGTGGGTGTCTACTAAATCTAAATGGGACCAACCATGCTTGGCCACAGGCATACCAAGCTCTTAGCTCGGTACGTTTTTACAGGTCATGTGGTTATACCTTCGAGCCCCGCTTTGCGGACGTCCGCTTTATTGAACGCTTCGTTATAACGGACAGCTTTCTTTGTTCCTGGACAAAGCCCTTACACTTTAACCCGCTTAATAAGGACACTTAAATCCTTTTTTGTAAGCGTCAGTATCAAAATCGCCGAAACCTTCCCTAACGTATCATTATCTACTGGTAGCTTCAATAATCAACTTCAGCTCTGATATTCTGGTCTTAGCACAGGACTCCTGAGTTTTCATTCTATGTATACGTAATTAGTGATATCCTGCTTAATCTCGGTTCGTCCGTGGCGCTGGGTAATTAGTGAAGACCTGATGCTATCAAGCGGTTAAAACTTAATAAAGCCACTGGACTGTATAAAAATAGTGCACACCTGCTCAAGGACTCTGTCCATGCACGCCGTCGCTGCCACCTACAGTGTATATATCGCCATAAAAGGGACCTTTTCCTTCTACTTAGAAAAATTCGAGAGTTGTACCCTTCATTCTAAGTTGTACCCTTACATAAGAAAGGCAATAATCTTGGGTCAGTTTCCACTTTGCCTGCTTTTTCCAACATCATAGAAAGGGCTATCCACACCCAAATCTATGAAAAGAACGAGAAAACATTAAAACGGTTCAGTTTCAAACGTGAATGACAATACTCAGTCTAACCAAGCTACAGTATCTGTAGGAGTTGCCCATGGTACAACCTGCTATTGTTTATATTCTATGTGAATGATTTGCAAATGTCCTGGAGTTTGCTTTATAGTTACATGTATGCTGATGACTCTGTTTTATATTGATATATCCCCTTGAAACATATAATATTTCAAAAACTGAACCTAATGCGATTTGAACTCGGACCTGGCAAGTTGTGTTAAAATGAAGAATTCGCAGGAGGCAGTAAAGTTAGGCTTAATAGAAATGAGTGTCCTTATAAAAAATTTTTAACGGGTCATGTTATTAAAGTAAACAACCAAACTTCTTTTGGTGAACAACTGAAATACTAAAGAAATATTAAAATCACAACATTGCTGAAGTATTTCTAACGGGCCACCGAGGCCATATACAGGCCTGTAGTCTAGTAAACACGAGCACTACTTAGCTCATCACCGTTATACTTAAAAAAAATGGCTCCGTCAAGTCACATGACTCCAGACTTCCCACGCTAGGGAAGTTAAGTTCCGGATGTACACTACAAATGCTATTACTAGTTTCAACGTAGACTACGAGTAGTCCCCCAGGTGAAAATCGCCCCACACGAGAAAAGGCGACACGCGTGTCGCCATTTTCTCGCGTGGGGCGATTTTCACGCGCGCTCGCGTTTCGCTCGCTCTACTATCCCTGAGGAAAAATAGGGGGGACTACTCGTAGTCTAGTTTCAACGCATACTACGTCCTTTGGTTTGCACTCTTTACTTAATCAAAAACAGTTCTCTGTGTATTAAACTCATTTATTACTTTAAAAATTCAGAAATTGACGTCTCTACTTCATTTTATCCCGTCTAACGTAGCACTGTAAACATCGAAATGCTGATATACGAGGATAACTTCAGCAAAGGCAAGGATTAATACAGCACACGGTTGATAACAAACTGTCATATTATCGAGGTTAACTTCCTCCGGTCTGAGAATCTATTGATTGTAGTCAGGAGCTTATGGCTGTTGGAGTAGAAAAAAGTAACCATTGTCCGCGTTAACAGGTGTCCGTATTATGGGTGTTAAAATGGAACGGCTTTGTCCAGGGACAAAGAAAGCTGTCCCGTAAAAACGAAGCATTCGTATTAAGCGGATCAAATGTCCGCAAAGCGGGGCTCGAATGTTTAGCCACAGGACCCTGAAAAACGTACAGTGTTCAGGTAGAGCTTTTATGAGGCCAGTCCGTTAGTCCGTCGAAAATTAGAACGGTGGCGTCAGGAACGACGAAACGCGAGCGCATAAAGCTTGGTTAACCTGTGGCCCGGTAGGTTTGGTCCCAGTTCCTCAGCGGTCAGTAGAAGTGCAACAAGGAAGCCTCCATCGGTTTGACAACTTTTGAAAACTTCTCTTACCTCCAAAATCTTAATGAAGTTGGCATTTCCTCGACTTCATGTGGATGCATCGGCTGTTGCCGGACTTATTGAGTGGTATTGCAATCGACTGGGAATGAGTGTCGTTAAAGAACTAGAGTGAAAAGGAGCTGTTACACTCGGTTGGTTATCAGAACGCGCCGCAATCAGCGGTTGTAGAATTTCGCTCGTCTCTCAAGCAATCTACACCACCAAAGTACTACAAACCGCAACCATCGTCTGATGTTTACTGGAAGATACACGAAATGACGCAGAACAAAATGGGGGAAGACGCGGAGAGCGATTTTGCTTTTCCTTTTGTCGAAGAAAACGACTACAGCGAGATTTCTGCGAAAGCTGTGTCAGCGAAACGGAAATTAAAAAAGAATCGCCCTTCCTCTCTTGTATAGAGCTAACATTAGAGCAGGGAAATCCTTAACACACTGAATTTTCTCTCAGGATCATTTGTAATTTACAGTTTGAAGAGAGCAATTTCTAGTTTGATGTTTAATTTTTTCAGTCTTTATAGCGATTATTCCTACCCACTTACTTTGTCAATTGTAGGCGAACCCTCCTAAAGCTGAATTTCAAGGGACCATATTCAAGCTCAGAAAGAGAAATAAAATTTCGTCGTTGCTTATTTACGTTCTCCATAAAACGCAAAAATAGGCATTTTCACGTCGTAATCGTGCAAAAACGGGAAAGAAATGAACAAAAAAGTGTGCTGCACGTGCGAAGTTGTTGTTTGCTAATTAAACCTATTGTTTTTTTGACGTTCTAGTTGTCGTCCGCGTCGTTGGATCTTAAACTCCCTAAATTGTACAAATTTTGTACCGGTTTCAATAGACCGGCGAAATTTCTCATTTTATTAAAGCACTGAGGTTACGACAACTTCGAGTTAAACTGATTTCACGGGTTGTCAACTACTCCAGCGATTCCTTTTTCCCAGGTGAGTGCCGACTCATTTCGCTTCAATATTCAGGAATGCTCTCGATCTTTTTACGCTTTCAATGGCCTTTCGCCCGACATGTTTTGCACGGCGTTTGGTCATACGAAACCTTCACGAAACATCCACGCCTCGCGCGAGGTAACTTTATCCCGATTCTAAAAATAACTCGAGACGAATTACCTATGCAATAGGGTGTATATGGGGGATGCCCTCTCTGTCCCCTTTATAGTCTCTTGGTGTACACTAGGTATGAAGTTACTGTCAATACATAGCATTCCAAACATGTTCAACCTATACTTCTTAGCCTGTACAGACGAGAGGCCACCTTCAGATGATGTAAACGCAGTGGAAATCAGGGAGTGGCTTTGGAAAAGGCCTTACACCACTTTAGAGTTGCAGCATTATCCTGGTACGGACCGGAAGTACAACACTGCAGACTTGAACCATGAAAGTGGCTTTACTGCGCTCGCGTTTGTGGTATTTTGGGTAGTATTGGTCACGTGATGTAAGAAGGTGACATAAACAGTTGCCAAATATGTTCTTGGTATACGCACGTGTGTTTATTTGTTCCTAATTGTTCGCTTCTAAAATCCTTCAGAATACAAAATTGGCGACGAGGATGGGATCCTCAATGTAAACAGAGTGTACACATGGCTGTAATCATTGGTAATTTGAGTCCTTTTGACGAGAGGTCCGAGAAATTTAGTGATTATGCCGATCGATTTGAAGCATATGTTGCGGCGAATGACAAGAAAGAGAGAAAGAGACGAGAAAGAGAGTCTGAGAGTACCAGAAACTGAATCAGATTTCTTTGTTAACGCCGTCATGGTAACATTTACCAGCCTCTGACCAGCACCTGGACGAAATATGACACCTTGAAAGTTGTTATGCAGTATGTCCGGGAAGGATGGCCTAACTGACAAGCGTAAACTGTACGGACAAGTTGGAAAATCAAGTGCCCTGAAAAGATGCGTTACCCAAAACACTTTAGCTCACGTCACGAAATAAATGCGTTACATGTGACGGCCTCTCGCCAAGGAAGTAGGTAAACATATGTTGAAGCCACAAATCAAGAGAGGATAAAGGAGACAGAGAAGGCATCCCCCATACACACCCTATTTCATAGGTAATTCGTCTCGAGTTATTTTTAGAATCGGGATAAAGTTACCTCGCACGCCGAGTGGATGTTTCGTGGAGGATTCACATGACTAAACGCCGTGCAAAACATGTCGGGCGAAAGGCAATGAAATCGTAAAGACATCGAAAGCATTGCTCTCTCCAAACTGTAAATTATAAATGATCCTGAGAGAATATTCAGTGTGTTAAGGATTTACCTGCTGTACTGTTAGCTCTATAGAAGAGAGGAAGGGCGATTATTTTTTAATTTCCATTTCTCTCCGAGTCTTCCGCCATTTTTCCTGATTCAATTCGGGAAGGACGCGTGGCTCTGAGCGTGGGTCATCCACGCGGAACACACTCGCGCTATGTGATTGGCTGTTGTCTAATACCCCTTTGGATCTGTGTGTCTTAAAAATAACTCGATACGAATTACCTATGGAATAGGGTGTGTATGGGGGATACCTTCTCTGTCCCCTTTATCTCTCTTGCACAAATGTAATAACTGACTACAAATGTAATAAAGTCCTCAAATGTAATATCAAATACTATCCAAACTCGAAGGAGCCCCGCCCTCAATTTAAGCTCCACGAATTCCACCTCCCTGTGGCTTCCCGTCGACTGAGCTCGAAGATTTCCGCCTATCAGCGCGAAGAGAAAACGAGCTGGAATGTAAACAAACATTGAAAAATACAGGAAAGCACGCGCCAATTGCAAGGCTCATTTTTAATGTCATCTCCGCTAATCACCATTTCACTCGACTTTTTCAATAGAGAAATTCAACTTCCAGAGACGTATTTGCAAGCTCTCCTTCCTTTTCTCGCCTCGCCGCCAGAGCCCCCCTATTTCAAAATTGTCTTCAGAGAAACATTTGAAATCGTTTGCTTACATACCAGATAATTTGAGCAAACGTTTGTCTTTTTTTTTTTTTTTTTTTTTTTTTGGTAGGGCAAATTCGAATTTGGATTCAGTCACTTGCCTTCACTTGATTCTGAAATTTCAGAAATTCAGCCAGGACCATTTGTATTATGTCTTTTATCCTGGGTATCAACAGTTTTTTGAAACCCAAAATCCTGCTCGCACTGAAAGTCCTTCAAGTGTTTCCCGGGAAAATAATTGCGTGAAAATATTTTTACGTGTAACCGTAAGTCACCTTAGTAAAGTTTACCAGAGTAAATATTTACCGCGGCAATTTTACGACAGGGAAGACCTTTTACCATGGTGTGTGTAACCGCACGTAATCATCCTTTTCTTTTTTTTTTCTCCCGCTCGCGCCTTCTAAACCTGACCCACTCCCCCCCTTCCTTGAATGTAGAGAGCTGGCTCGCTGGTTAATTTACCTCTCGACTTCTCCCTCTCTGACATAGGGACGTGAGCTAATACGTTTCAGAGCTTTTCCAAAAATAGAACTATTATAGTATTTATCATATGCGGAAATTTCATTAACATCGAGGAGAAAGTATATATTACATAATCGCCTCTTTTTTTAGCCGTAATTTGATATCCTGCTGATAAATATTCCCATTCTTTAGACAAACTTTCAATTTCTGTTGATCTTGATCTTCGTCTTTGTGTTTTTGTTGTTCTTTCATCAGGTATCTTTTCCGAGTGAAAGGGAAACAGAAGTTACAAGTTATTTCTTGAAATAGTTCACGTGATAATACCAAAAAGCTGAAAAGATACCTTCAATAGGTGAAATGGCAAAGAAATGTCGACATAATAAGCTTAAATAAACTTTTTATTTATAGACAGCAGCTTACTGTGACTACGAAACAAATCCTTGTTCGTTCTTCAGGCCTTAATTCAGTGGGACTATGCGCAAGACAGAGATTAAGATTCACGTTTACACCAAACGGCAAACGTGAATTTGTACCACGTGACCAAGTTTTTCCCTTAATTGTTGTTAACTGTTTATTACTTCAACTCAAAAAATAAGTAGTGTCACGCCAGTTTTATACATAAAGAATTGCTCTGGACAATTTTTATCTGCTTATTTTCTATTCTGAGAAATTCTCAACATGAATCTGACGTTTGCCGTTTGGCGTAAACGTGACTCTTAATCTCTCTAATGAGTAGTTGATCTGCAATACATGTGCCTGTATCAGTTATCTTTTTTGGTAAAGTGAAAAATGTCTTGAAAGCTTTATTTTTGTTGATCGGAATGTGCTTGCTAAAAGTTTCTACAGCTCTATCACATATGAGAGCGCAAGATAAACAAAAGAAATCTAGGCTGTAATTAACTCGTGAACTTAGTTTTCAATTATTATATGGCTGAGTCCGTCAGCGGGCAAGATGAAACGAATCCTGCGTTCTGATTAGCTAACTAAGCGGGTTCGGGATTATTCCCGTTGGTCCTCAACAAAATCTTGTCTTTTTGGCCATATAACTGAAAACCTTTATTGATCAAGCGGAGCTTGTTCGATCGAATGGCTGTATATTGGCCTCGTCTCGGTCAATAAAAACGGAAAGGGAAACTCGGCCAATATCCAGCCTTCTTGACCTTCTGTTTAGTCAATAATGGTTCAGGAAATTCCAAGCGTGCCCATACCCCCCTTCCCCCGGGCATTTGTTATTATTATTATTTATTTATTTTATTTTTTTTTGGAAAAGCTGCAAATGACCCACGGTGGGGCCGGGCGGTTCATCCAAAAACCCCACGGTGGAGCATAAAAAAGTGGGCAAATGCCCTACCCGGAGGCAACACTAAAATTGTATTTTCCATTAAATAAGCTGCAAATGCCGTATTTAATTAGTTTAATGGACATCTGTAATAATCTGATCAAAACGCGTGAAACACCCTACGGAAATCGCTCCTAGCCGCCAGTTATACTGATTGCAAAATAGATTTATCCGATCTCATTCACATCAATGACAAAACTATAAACTAGAACTTTAATAACACCTTTCTTATTTTCGCAGTTATTTAAGATAGTGACCAATAAACAAATAACCGACAAACTTATAAACAAGATTATTTTGTCATCACGAAGGACCCGTCCCGTCAACGTCGTCGCGTGGATTCTGGTTCAAAACACGAAGTTTATGTTAGCTTTCAAATATCTCGCATAGTTTTTCTAGGCCTCTCTACCTCAACCATTCGCTCACAAAGAAAGTGCCTTTTCCTTTAAACAATGAATTAATTGTTTTTCCTCCATGTGCGAACTGATCACGTTGGCTAGATCGCGGGAAGCAGTTCCTTAGACTCCGGGCGCAAAAAATACTGTATGGACATAGGATGGTGATGAAACAAAAACTAAACGTATCTTTTCAAAGCATATGTGTTACATGTAAAAATATTCTTTATAAAAATATCAATAACTATTGAAAAAAGGCATACTTTAAAGTGAAATATTGACAAAGGAAGAAGAACTGACAAATGCTCGGCGGGAATAGGCACCCTTGGAATTGACTGAGCCATAAAGCATATAATTGTCCCCACAGGGATTTCGCCCAAAACGCGAAATCTCGAGGAGGCACTCTAGTAACTCGAGCGTATATTAAGGAAAGTACTTGCAGCTGAAAATCTCGATTTGCTTGAGCAGGGGTAGTCTGCTACACAGCCGTTTTTAGTGTCGTCACGCAACGCTCCTCCCCACTAACGGAGGAGCGTTGCGTGACGACACTAAAAACGGCTGTGTAGCAGACTAGAGCAGGGGCCGCGAGGAATCGGTAGGCAATGATGACGTTTCTATTGTTTGCGCCCGCAAGTACGAAATGGTTAGGATGACGTAAAGACAGAACATCCCCGAGGGACCGCTTAAGTAGATTTTGTGACATTTATTGTGCAGTCCAGTACTTCGACACGCTTTTGCGTTACGTGTTATCAGTGACATTCTGTGGAGCAGTTGTTTCAGTGAAGTTTTGGACCAAAATTTTAACGACACTCGTTAAGCGCAGAAGAAGTTATAAGGTGCGTATAATCATTTTCTATCAAGCACCTTCTAGAAATGCAGGATAGAAAAGTATTTCGTAAGGTATCTGGCATAGACCGACACCCTCTAAGGGGACTATTACCCAAGAACAAAGTATCGACTTACAATTTAAGGAATCCAACAAGTCAGTATCCGAAAGTTAATACAGATAGATTCAAGAACTCTTACATTAATCGCTTCATTTTTAATTACAATTTAGCTATGTGAGCGTATTTTAAATATATATACTTTTACTCAAATATTGTAACATAAGATATGTATTTTTTATCTTGTGTGGAAATAAAGACTATTATTATTATTATTATTATTATTATTATTATTATTATTATTATTATTATTATTATTATTATTATTATTATTATTATTATTATTATAACTGTGTATATATAAACACTTGGAGAGTTTGCCAGACACGAGTTCACAAATCTTTCATTGGAAACCTTGCCAGACACTCTTTCTCTCTCTTTGACCCTAATAAGACTCAGCGCCAAACAAGCAAGACGAGTGAACAACGGCTAGCTTCTCACTAGCAGAACGATGGACAATTAGAGAACTTCGCCGACAATTAAATTCTGTGCTGACTTATTTCCTGCTCACAGACGTCCTTCCGCTATAAAGTTTAAAATCACGGACTAGAATGCGCGAGTGTGAATTGATCAAACGTCCTTTTAATTTCCAAGGCTTCCTTTCCGGCAAATAAAATGAACTGAATGTAAAAAGTGAAAGAGAAATAGCGAAAAATTCAACTTCTAATGCAACCTTTTCTTATGGTTTAGAATAAACTATTCTCGAAACTGAGAATGTTTTGATCAAAGCTGTGTAAATCGACCTGAAACTGTGCAATGGAACCTTGCGTTTCCCGTATACTATCTCACCTATTGTATGGAATATGTGTGAAAATCTTCCTTATGAATCGGTATATTTCAAAGAGCTACACAACGAGCAAGAATGCTATTGACCGACAATATACAGAGCGGGGGCAGCTGTAGTGTCAACTATTACTAGTTATATATGTAGCAAGTATTAAAAAATAAACCATAAAGCTCAGTGAAGCGGAAGAAGAAAGACTAGTAGGACAGAAGGGCAGTTAGTATAAATAAGTAACCATATCGTAAATTGCGAAAGCCAACTGTAACTATAGTTTTTTTTTTTCATCAAATCTGTGACAAAAGTTTGTTATGCTTCATTTATCATTTCAGCGGCAGTCTAACAAAATGTGTTACAGCTAAGTTATTTAAACGACCATTGCGAATCAAGCAGATATAAGCACTGACAACCGCTATTTGCTTGTTTAGAAGTTGACTGGTTTGAGTTTCATTTCAGCTCGTTTGACGGAATAGTGACGTCCCTTCCAACGATACCAGTTCACACTATCAGCATATGAAGAGTGTCTACCGCGATAATAGAGGCCGTTCAGGTTGGAAGTATAACACCACCGGTACCACCAGGCCCCCTTAAAGCGTGCGGCACAATTACTATACGAGAAGTCATTGTCTCGATCGTTAGTGGAGAAAGGACAGCCTCTGTGATAACTTAGCGAGTCACCAGCACTTCCTGGAAAATGAAATTGGAAGAAACGATATTTCCTTAAATTTATCTCCACATAACTGTGATTTTTGATACGACAGTAAGATCTAAAAACAGCGGGAAACATTGAACCGTTTTCATGGTCGAAGTAAAATCACTCTTATACTAATGCTCCATATTATGTATTAATTTGCTTTACTCTTATTTTAGGATAGCGGTGTGATTATTACATACTTCACTGTATGTGGGGCTAGTTGTATCTCTGTGGTGGGTATTTATTTCTTTAACGTCAAAATCATTAGCATTAACTTGGGCCTTTATAAGACTTTTCCCCGAACCTCATTTTTAATCAAGTAAGTAATACAATTACCGGAGTAAGTTCCAAGACTCAGCTTGTATTTGCTTCTCTCGTCTGTTATAGCAAAGTAGCTGTACTCGGCATAAGCCGTGTTTCTGTTGAAGTCCTCGAGATCCACTCGAAGTTTGCCTTTAGTTTTTGTCAGGCGGTGAATTTTGTCCAGTCCGAGCCAAAACTCGCCATTCAGATTTCCGAACCCTTTTTTGTAATCGTTCCAGCCGCGGGTGAAATTAACCGAGCCATCAAGTCTCTTCTGGAACACTGTCCACCCCCCACCGGCTGTTGTTTGGTCACAGTACACGTCAAAGACACCAGCACCGTCAGGGTCAATCTTGTAAACTCCACTTGTTCGTTTTCCAGCTTTGTACAGTTCAGCGCAGTTCTTATAAGCTGGAAGACATGACATTTAAGCACTGCGTGTTAATTGGACATTTAATTGGCAGGATATGGCTTCTTTACAACTTATAAAGTCAACAATAATATCTCCGTTTTATATACTGTATTGCAATTATGACACTGTATAAGAAACTGTGTAAGAAATTCAGGCCCGCAATAATGTCGCTAAACACCTACCAAATTAGGTCTAACTGTCTTTAGTATAATTACATTGATGCAACAAAATTTCGAGTCAAACTATTCGAAGGTAGGTTGATAAAATTTTTCTTTTGCAAGTAACACAATTTACTGAAAACTGCTATGTTTATTGTCATTTTTTTTGGCTTCAAAGTGTCGGCAACTTTTAGTAACTTTTGCGAAATATTTTTTTTCCACAGAATGGCTTCAACAGCGGCAAGACTTCACAAATGAAATAGAAAACATGGATGTCGATGAATTAAATAAATGTCTGGCAAAATTTCATGTTTCCGTGAGGAAAACCGACGGCAGCCATTATAAGAAAACGAGCTTGTTGTCGATCAGAGCCGCCCTCGACCGACATCTTAAAGCCCCAAAATCTTTCAAAAATTTGTCCATTTTTATTTTATTTTCTTGAATAATCATCAATGTAATTATACTCATTATATCCTTTGGTGTTATTACAAACCGCATTAGTACTGCAATTGTACGTTCCTTCTTCACACTCATTGATGTCTGAAATCATATTGAACATCAATGACAATAGACTAAGTTGGCACAGTGGATTCCTATCAGCTGTCTAGACAACGGTACTAATGTACTTCCTTTTTTTGTTTAGATACAGAGGAAGTAAGTTGTTGAGGAAATAAAAGAAAATAAAGCAAACAAGGAAACAAACACAAAGCTTTTGATGCCATGCGAGCAGACCAGACAGTAAAAAGAAAATTACTGAGTGTGCAGTTTTTTCCATCTCTTTTATATCCAGGTGTACATGTGCAATTGAAGGATCCGTGGGTGTTGTTACAAATGGCATCAGAACCGCACCCGTAAGTGTCTGCTTCACACTCGTCGATGTCTGAAATAATACATCATTGAACACCACAATATAATAGTTAGCTTAGTACGCAATGTGATTCCTCTCATCCGTCACTGGGCTTTCGTTCAGTTGGGCGGATCCAGGATTTTATGAGCTCAGAGGGAGTGGGTGATACCGGTAACTTGTCCAATGGCGTCCCCAAAACGTTGCAGTTGAGGAAGGATGAATATAGGAACCTGTAACACGGCAAATTCTTACAACGCCACACAACAGAGAAATGATTACATTGCAACCTTAAAAACATGTTCTCTCCCTGCTGTACACGATAACACACATAACAAGAGATAACAAACACAAGTAAGTCGGCTAGAAAAGCGGGGATGGCTAACCTCCCAATCCACCTCCCCTGGATCCACCTCTGTCGTTGTATTGTTATAGCATGCAAGTTGTAAGAGGGGTAGAGAATAGAAGAAATATAATAAAGTTTCTGCTGTCATAAGAGAGCGGAGTGACGTACCACTGAAATTACTACCTGTACAGTTTTCTCCATCTCCCGTAAATCCAGGTTTGCATGTGCAATTGAAGAATCCGTGGGTGTTGTTACAAAATGCATCAGAACTGCAATTGTGTGTATCTGCCACACACTCATCGATATCTGAAATACGTTTTAAATTACATGTAAATTACTGAATGCCCAATCATGAAAAAATTAAAATCTGTTTATCCTGGGAGGTAAAATATTCTTTTCGGAAAAAGCAAGCGTAAGACCCTTTTATTGTTCCTGCACCGTGGCATTTGTTTGTTACAGAACCGCAATCGACTTTTGGATAACCCTCCATTTTAATTATTCAGTAACCGTCTCACTTTGTCTCCCAAGATACCATAATCGTGACCTGAAATTTCATTTTTTTTTTTACTTATGACCAATAATTGTTAGTATAACGTTAAGATCTTATTGCGTCATTTCCAAAGTAGGTTTACTTCCAACTTTGTTTAAGTTTTCATGAATAAAACTCGAATTTGTCACGATACTTCCCCCATTAACCAAAACCTCCTTTATTTATTTGTATATTCATCACCTGTACAGTTCCATCCGTCTCCCAAGTACCCAGGTTTACACGTGCAGTTGTAGGTTCCTTTGGTGTTGTTACAAACCGCATTAGAACTGCAATTGTGAGATATTTCTTCACACTCATTGATGTCTGAAATCATATTTAACAATGGGGAAAAGCTTAGTTTGCAGAGTGAACTCTCCTCATCTTTCTAAACAGTTAGGCTAGCACCGAGGAGAAAGAAGAAATACATGAGAAAAAAACAGAAAAGCAAAGTTTCTGATGCCAGCCATGTTAGGAGACAAAACGTCAAAAATACATGGTATACCAAGCATTATGAACTTCCCGTTTAAAAGTTTAAGGTAATAAGGTCTGCTGTTTAAAAAATTGCTATAAAAATCATCTTATCATGGAAAAACAAAAACAGCAATGCTTTCGAAGGCATACAAAATGACCAAGTTACGAAAGAAATTACCTGTGCAATTATTTCCGTCCCCTTCATATCCTGGTTTACATGTGCAGTTGTAGGATCCTTTGCTGTTATTACAAACCGCATTAGAACTGCAATTGTGGGTCCCTTTTTTGCACTCGTTGATGTCTGAAATCATATTGATCGATAATAGAAACAAACGTATTTAACATTTCTGTGTTTTAGACTTTCCCCTGTTTTAATATATCTACAGTGAAATCAAGAGAAGAGGTTGCTGGAAGATAGTAACAATATAAGTAGCAAGCCAAAACATTGGTGTCGAATCCAAAGAAAAGTTAGACTGTTTCTGTGTCTGTTAAGACATTGACTTATTAGGGTCATTTATACGAGGAAAAATAAGACGCGTCTTAAATAAGACGCGAACTGTACCATTTATACGAGCATGTCTTATCTAATAAGACGCGTCTTAGCTAAGCCGCGCCGCGTCTTATTTCTAGACGAAATGTGCCGTTTATACGGAAAGTTCGCGTCTTATTTAAGACGCGTCTTACATACTTATTTTTCCTCGTATAAATGGCCCTATGTTTAATTTGTTTTTTTGTCGTTGTTTTTTTTTTGTTTGTTTGTTTTTTCATTTTCACTCATGAACTAAATTAGTTATGAGAAAATTATAAGACTTTTGACATCAACAAGCCCTAACACGCAGCTCAAATAACCAAGAAACACACATAAGATAGCGAAAACATAAAACAAAAATTTCGTGGAAAATAGTATTGGAAAGTGTGCGACAATTAAAAGAAGGCTAATTTAAAGTTACAGGATAACAAAACCTTAAAGTAACCGCTCGTTTCATACACTGCCGTGAGAAATGACATGAACGGCTCAAATTATCTTTATTACGATTTAAACTCCTTTGATTTAATCAGTTGCTTTAAAAGAAACTTTCAAGAATAACTTACCATTCTCACAGTGTTCACCAGTGAAACCAGAAGGACATAAACACCGATATTTTTTCTCTGTGAATCCGGACTGACAGGTACCGTTGTTATGGCAACGGGGATTATCACAAGCACTCTTTAAAGAACAAAAATCAGGTCTGATTTGTAACAGAAGTTACGCCAAGCTTTCATGATCGAGCGTCAACTATAAACTACAAGATGAAGATGACGATGATGGTGATATGATAGGGAGCTTAAACAACGACAACTTTGCACGTGGATTAAGCTTAATTTTATATTTCGTTGGTGTCGTTTCATGACCCGACTGATTTCACGTTTCTGGACAACGATTTCTATCTTTTTTTCTTTTTTTTAACTTAGATACAGTCCTTTAGAATTTAGCACCCGAAAAATTTACCAACATTCACCACAAATCGCGACATGGAAAAAGAGTGATGAATTTGGAAACAGCTTGAGTTAACTTTTTTAAGAGACGTTCACTCCTAATGACGAAGATGACGTCTCTTGTGATGCTGATGACTATGATGCCATGATCGCCTTGAAGATGATGAAAGCAGACCACAAAAGAAAAAAAGAGAAGAAAAGAGAAGACAAAAAACTTACAATTGCTCCATGATATAAGTAGCCTTCCTTCTCTTTCAAGTCTGCATCGTGCGCTCGGTGTGTTGAATTGTTCAGTTCACATCGTTTTTGTCTTTGTATCTCATAATTAACACTGACGCAGTTTGGTTCGTTGTAACAAAGCAGTTCACAAAGACTCATATCCGGGACATGTTGGACAATTAAGATCGTGTGGCCCTCCAAACATTTGTCAGCAATTAGGAAATAACTCGGAAACGCCAGTAGGCGGCAATTACCTGAATTGAAAAAAAGAAAAAAAATTGCATTTAGCAATTCCAGGAGCCCATAAGGTGGCAAATTCTGACTTTTCTGGCGGCAAAAAGAGCTTCGATTAAAAGCAAATGTCCTTGATAAACAAGATTGAAGTTCATGGAACGTAATAACTTATATTTTCGGTTGTACTCCCTTACTCTTACAGCTACGTTTTATCTGACATTTAATCATGAAACTACCATGTATGTTAATTAAACATGCCAGGGGTTTTCTTGGAATCGCATCAAACTGGCTTAAAACAGCATAGTATATCAAATAATGAGAAAAAGGAGATGGAATTTAAGTTAGTTCTCTAGGCCAATTTTCTGTCAATTAGTCGAGCTCTATAAAGAAAACCCCTTTTTTAGGGAAATATATACGATAACTTTTTTGTAAAAGCCAAACAAAAGGCTGAAAAAAGGAAAAGGAAGATGGAATTCCCACCTGTCTTGAATAGTGGTAATCTGTCGTGTTTATTGTGAAAATATTTTCCCCATATCACGCAAATAACAGAATTCTTTGTTTCCTGGCAACTTTCTTCTTGTGAACGAGTTTATAATCCAAGTTTTAAAAACATAGTGACAACATGGAAACTCAATTTTATATTTCTTAAAAAGAATTATCTTGCACTTATCTCCTGTTATTTAACTTCTAAATAGGTTTTCATGTTGTACATTGAGTGCGCTGTCAACATTATAATTTAACAAAATAGCAAAACTCAGGCACTGGATAGACAACACAGCTAAAGAAATTAACCATAAGCCGTAAAAAAGTCATCTTTATGGGCAGTATATTAGAGCAGAAAATTTTTGCAGCTACTCTTGTTTCCAATTTTTAAAGTCCGTCTAATTTTTTTATTTTTTTTTTTTTTATCTTCTTTCAAGAGATAAATGTGTTTCTCACTATTTTGTCGCTCAATTTTGAAAATAGGGAGCCAAATATGATTGAAATAGCAAGGTGGAAAGAGAAGAACTTACCCTCCAAACAGCCGAAGCAAATTCTTAGAGAATGCATGTACAGCATAAAGAAAATACTGTAGTGAAGAACAACACCCATGATCGCTGCCTTGTTTGCGGATCGCAAGACTCCTGAAAAGTCGAGTGTATTATGTGCTGTTAAGCTACAACAGGGATATAACTTATACAATACCGGTAAACAGTTCCATACCACCCGTCGCATTTTAACATTAACGTCAAAACTTAAATAAATTCTTTGTGTTAATGAGATAGTTTAATAATCGCTGGATACATTTTACTGATATTTCCCAGTTTATACTACTACATGAGAAATTTCTGTAATTTGATTGGCTTAGAGCAGTGGTATTTCAGCTTAATTTGAAATACCTACATGTGAAAAAATTACAAACCTTTTGCGGGTAGTAGTATAAACAAATAATAGCATGATTTGTACGTAATATTAGGCATAAATACCACTTGTGATATTTCAAAATTGTCTCAAATTTCACTTGCCTAACGGCTCGTGAAATTAGGTATAACAATTTTGAAATATCACTCGTGGTATTTATGCTGAATATCACTACAAATCATGCTATTACCTATACTAACACATAAATATGCGCAAACAGAGACAATTCCACATCTATTGAAGATGTACCTTTTCTAGCGTTAACTGTGCTCTCATTAATACTTAGATTCTTAAACCGTTCGTGGTAAACAAAACTTGGCATAAATTCATGTTAAAAGGTCTTAATGATCTTTAATAACTTTGTTTCAAAATATTAAGGCCTAGCCGGATAGGCCATTGTCGCCTGGCTCTCGCTACGAAACTTTTTGATATGAAAAATAGTGTAAATTTTGAAAAAACAATATCATCTATTATTCAACGATAAGTTCACAAATTTCAATTACTTCACGGCCTCTATGCCAATGTTTTTACATCAGAGCAGTGAACCCTTTCACAACTGAACTTAGTAAACCGCAAATAAATCTTAAAATAAGATGGAAAATAAAACAAAATTGTTACGTTGCATGTAGACAATGCTCTAATAAATAATGGAAAGATAAGCAGGTGTTGACTAGACGATTTCCCACCCTATTTCTAATGCACTAGAACATGATTAGCTCCGTGGGTGTCTACTAAATCTAAATGGGACCAACCATGCTTGGCCACAGGCATACCAAGCTCTTAGCTCGGTACGTTTTTACAGGTCATGTGGTTATACCTTCGAGCCCCGCTTTGCGGACGTCCGCTTTATTGAACGCTTCGTTATAACGGACAGCTTTCTTTGTTCCTGGACAAAGCCCTTACACCTTAACCCGCTTAATAAGGACACTTAAATCCTTTTTTGTAAGCGTCAGTATGAAAATCGTCGAAACCTTCCCTAACGTATCATTATCTACTGGCAGCTTCAATAATTAATTTCAGCTCTGATATTCTGGTCTTAGCACAGGACTCCTGAGTTTTCATTCTATGTATACGTAATTAGTGATATCCTGCTTAATCTCGGTTCGTCTGTGGCGCTGGGTAATTAGTGAAGACCTGATGCTATCAAGCGGTTAAAACTTAATAAAGCCACTGGACTGTATAAAAATAGTGCACACCTGCTCAAGGACTCTGTCCATGCACGCCGTCGCTGCCACCTACAGTGTATATATCGCCATAAAAGGGACCTTTTCCCTCTACTTAGAAAAATTCGAGAGTTGTACCCTTCATTCTAAGTTGTACCCTTACATAAGAAAGGCAATAATCTTGGGTCAGTTTCCACTTTTCCTGCTTTTTCCAACATCATAGAAAGGGCTATCCACACCCAAATCTATGAAAAGAACGAGAAAACATTAAAACGGTTCAGTTTCAAACGTGAATGACAATACCCAGTCTAACCAAGCTACAGTATCTGTAGGAGTTGCCCATGGGACAACCTGCTATTGTTTATATTCTATGTGAATGATTTGCAAATGTCCTGGAGTTTGCTTTATAGTTACTTGTATGCTGATGACTCTGTTTTATATTGATATATCCCCTTGAAACATATAATATTTCAAAAACTGAATCTAATGCGATTTGAACTCGGACCTGGCAAGTTGTGTTAAAATGAAGAATTCGCAGCAGGCAGTAAAGTTAGGCTTAATAGAAATGACGCTACTACTATTTCATTTTTCAAGTATTCGTTCCTTTTTAAGCTACCAGTTCTACACAGTAATGCTGCGCGACTTTCTAAATCATCCCCGCGCTTCTGAAAGTGACGCTTCTTAGTGAAGACTCCGCTGGTTGTCTTTACATCGGGCTTAGTTGCTTGCGTCGGTTTATAACCTTTTTTTTATGCACTCGCGTCACTGTTCGATTAAATATGCGTCAATTCTCATAACTGTACTAGTTCCAACCATGATATACGACAATCTTTTGCTTCTAGAAAATGGGAACAGTGGAGAACTTTAAACACTGTTGCAGATTTATTGGATCCTTTAGAGTTACTTTAAGAGAAACACCCACAATAGCTGTATTTACGCGAATCTTTTTTAAAGCCAAATATAAATTAGATACAGTCGAACCCTGTTACTACGGACGTTGGTGCGGGGGGGGGGGGGTTTGGAAAGTGTCCTTATAAAAAAAATTTTAACGGGTCATGTTATTAAAGTAAACAACCAAACTTCTTTTGGTGAACAACTGAAATGCTAAAGAAATATTAAAATCACAACATTGCTGAAGTATTTCTAACGGGCCAACGAGGCCATATACAGGCCTGTACTCTAGCACTATTTAGCTCATCACCGCTATACTTAAAAAAAATGGCTCCGTCAAGTCACATGACTCCAGACTTCCCGTGCTAGGGAAGTTAAGTTCCGGATGTACACTACAATTGCTATTACTAGTTTCAACGTAGACTACGAGTAGTCCCCGATTTTTCCTCAGGGATAGTAGAGCGAGCGAAACGCGAGCGCGCGTGAAACTCACCCCACGCAAGAAAATGGCGACACGTGTGTCGCCTTTTCTCGTGTGGGGTGATTTTCACGCGCGCTCGCGTTTCGCTCGCTCTACTATCCCTGAGGAAAAATGGGGGGGACTACGCGTAGTCTAGTCTCAACGCAGACTACGTCCTTTGGTTTGCACTCTTTACTTAATCAAAAACAGTTCTCTGTGTATTGAACTCATTTATTACTTTAAAAATTCAGAAATTGACGTCTCTACTTCATTCTATCCCGTCTAACGTGGCACTGTAAACATCGAAATGCTGATATACGAGGATAACTTCAGCAAAGGCAAGGATTAATACAGCACACGGTTGATAACAAACTGTCATATTATCGAGGTTAACTTCCTCCGGTCTGAGAATCTATTGATTGGAGTCAGGAGCTTATGGCTGTTGGAGTAGAAAAAAGTAACCTTTGTCCGCATTACGGGTGTTCGTATAACTATTATGGGTGTTAAAATGTAACGGCTTTGTGCAGGGACAAACAAAGCTGTCCCGTAAAAACGAAGCATTCGTATTAAGCGGATCAAACGTCCGCAAAGCGGGGCTCGAATGTTTAGCCACAGGACCCTGAAAAACGTACAGTGTTCAGGTAGAGCTTTTATGAGGCCAGTCCGTTAGTCCGTCGAAAATTAGAACGGTGGCGTCAGGAACGACGAAACGCGAGCGCATAAAGCTTGGTTAACCTGTGGCCCGGTAGGTTTGGTTCCAGGGGCCCGTTTCTCGAAAGTCCGGATAATTAACGGGCCCGGTAAGCTGTCTCCGTTTACATTAAAGATCGAAGTTTCAATAGTTTTGCATCTAACATGATAAAACTGTCAGTTAATGAAACAAAATGGAGTAGTCTGCTAGCCAGGAACTGCGCTCTTATTCTTTATATTTCGATCTGAATATTTGATTTCGGGCCCGAAAAGTTACCGGGACGTTCGAGAAACGGGCCCCAGTTCCTCAGCGGTCAGTAGAAGTGCAATAAGGAAACCTCCATCGGTTTGACAACTTTTGAAAACTTCTCTTACCTCCAAAATCGTAATGAAGTTGGCATTTCCACGACTTCATGTGGATGCATCGGCTGTTGCCGGACTTATTGAGTGGTATTGCAATCGACTGGGAATGAGTGTCATTAAAGAAATAAAGAGTGAAAAGGAGCTGATACACTGGGTTGGTTATCAGAACGCGTCGCAATCCGCGGTGGTAGAATTTCGCTCGTCCCTCAAACAATCTACACCACCAAAGTACTACAAACCGCATCCATCGTCTGATGTTTACTGGAAGATAGGATTATCACTTGCAGATGTAGACACTGCTCGTTCAAAGCTTGTACGTCAGGACGTGGAGGTCACTTCTTCAAGACAGTTCCGGGATATCGGATACATGTGCCACTTAAGCGACCCATTTGGGTTTTCATTACAGCTGCTGCAGCATGATTTCAAGTCTAATTTTAGTTCTGAGTGAATACAAGCCTCCCTTGAACCGAACCTGGCGCTTGGGCAGCAAGCGCACATCGGGCAAATCACTCTTCGTGTTTCTGATATCAATCGAAGCCTTCAATTTTATCAGTCTACACTAGGTATGAAGTTACTGTCAATACAGAGCATTTCAAACAAGTTCAACCTATACTTCTTAGCATGTACCGACGAGAAGACACCTTCACATGATGTAAAGGCAGTGGAAATCAGGGAGCGGCTTCGGGAAAGACCTTACACCACTTTAGCGTTGCAGCATTATCCCGGTACGAACCGGAAGTACAACACTGCGGACGTAAACCATGAAAATGGCTTTACTGTGCTCGCGTTTATAGTTACTGCACAGCGTTTCACAGACTCTTCTAGTGTGGAGGATGTAGGCAGGAATTATCCAGAATACAATTCCAGTGTCCTAGAACGGAAAGACCCAGACGGTACAAGTGTTTTGTTTATTTCAGATTAGTAAAGGTGTATTATGAGCTACAGCGTCATAGGGATACAAGTGTGTTGCTCAGTTTAGGCGAGTGACAGTGTCCTAAGGATAATACCTCCTAAATGAAAGGTCCATTAGTATGGGTTATGACTGGGCAGGAAAAGCAGATCGTAGTCCCAGGAGGTGGGGGTACTCAACAATACAGGTAGGCTCTGTCCTTTGAACTGTAATGCACTGTCTTTAAGAAATATGAATAAAACTCAAACCAGAACATTTTCTGAACTTTTTCACTGGCACAAAAACCACCTTTTAGTCCTTTTGGGCCTAATATTACAGAAACATTATCGGAAACCCCTGCTACGCGGGCTATGGCTTCTATGCCTAACTATGGTGCATACATGTACTCAGATCTTAATACACAATCCACCGTACCTAAAAAGATGGCGACCGGTACATTTACCCACAGTTCTTAGCGCATGAAAACCGTAAAATTGCTCATAGAAACGCACAGAAAAGTTGACTTCATGTATAATTAGCTGTGTTAGGTTCGAAACGAATTGTGGTAAAATGTACAGCCACCATATTTTTCGGTATGGCGGATTGGGGGCCAAAAACAAGGATTTTGTCTCTAGCCTAATAATAATAATAATAATAATAATAATAACGTCTTTAATAATAACGTCTTTATTAAAAAGCATCCGATAAAATTACATATCTGATGTTACAGTATATATTGACAGAAAAAGAATTACAATAATCAAGATGAAAAAAAAAAAAAAGATTAAATTCATTAACAATACATATGGGGTATTTACACAGCTAGATTATATTTAAAAATCAATCTATTAAAAAAGCTATCTTTGAAACGTTCAGTGTTAATGCTGGGCCTAACAATGGATTTCCTACGAAGGTTTACAATACAGTCTTTGTACCTTGGGAACAAGCTATTTAATGGTTGGTCATCGCGTTTGAGGTTATAAAAAAGGCGTCTGTCGCTTTTCTCCAGAAGTTCATATATGTTGTAATTAACCGACGTATAACGCCTCTTATAGCATTTTTTTAAAAACCTTTGTATAACAGTAAGTTCGGAAACACTTGCAGCATAAACTGAAAGACCGTATAATAACTTAGGGATCACAATTGAATTAAAGAGATGGTCTATTTCATCCTGTGTATATCCTTCCTTACGTAGGCTTCTGATGACAAATAAACACTTGTTGGCTTCATGGAGCTTGGCCTTGACATGCAAGCCAAACTTACAATTACCTTGAATTATGACGCCCAATAAAGAAATGTTATTATATTGTTTGATATTGTGAGACATTGGGTAGACTGTTAAATTGCCTCTCTTGCGCATAATTAGCTCCTTACATGCATACAGACTTAAGCATAGGTTTAGTTACATGCATACAGACTTAAGCAGAGGTTTAGTTTCATCTGTGGCACAGGCTACAGTTCAACTGTTATATTAGTCATGTGATCTCAAAATAGCCACTGAAAGCATGTAGTTAGAAAAATGCTGTTTATAAGCAACAATGACCAGTCATTTTGTTGTTAGCAATAATTTAATAGATCACCAACACCACTTGCCTAGGATGATAATTTTATAATTTATTATATTTATTAATTTGAATATATAAATCTTTTTTGTGCAAAGATGAATCAGAATTAATAGCATTCATTGTTTTACAAATATAACAAATATGTGTGTAATTTACTTCTCATGAAAGTATGTATTATTATTTATTCAAAATATTTTTCCCGATTCTGACTGGCTAAAAGCACACGCATAATTTACCATAACCAGTTACTGATGACCAAATTTGGAAGAATTTTGTGTTTAACGAGGAAATGACCTCAAAAATGTAGCGTTCTTGCAGGTTAAGGCACCGTTTTGTTTCGGTCGTGAAAACAGAAAATGGCGGACATTTCACTCGTTTCGAGAGTAAGAACTAGGAGAAATTATAGCTAAAAACATGGCAAGAACAGCAAGAGCACAACTCGAAGGGCGACATCTGCTATTTGGAGAACATTTGCGGACCTGAAAAACCCTAAA